TCGGCCGAGGAGTTGGTGGCGGCCAGGCACCTGCTGCTGCAAGAGGAACAACGACTGGCCTTTGCAGCGGAGTTCAGCGCCCTACAACGGGGCAAGCCAGTACCTAAAAGTTCGAGGGTATATCGTCTGTCCCCCTTCATAGGCGACGACGGGCTCCTGAGAATCGGGAGCAGGCTTCAGGAGTCTGAGTTGACCAGTGAGGAGCGACACCCTGTTTTGCTCCCAAAGGGACGGGTGTCCGAACTGCTGGTGTGGGACCAGCATCGTATGATGTGCCACTGTGGTGTGTCTACTCTGATCACTGCACTCCGAGCGGCCTTTTGGATCGTGGGTCTCCGCTGCCTGGCAAAGCGCATCAAACGCTCGTGTTTGGTTTGTCAGCGGCAGGATGCTGTCCAGTGTAACGAGCCGGCGGCGCCGCTCCCTCGCGACAGGGTAACCCGTGCGCCGCCGTTTTCGGTCACAGGAGTGGATTTCGCGGGGCCGATTTTCGCGGTGGACTGCCCACGAAGAAAGTTCTATGTGTGCCTATTCACCTGCGCTGTGACACGCGCAGTGCATCTGGAGTTGACAGGATCACTGTCACAGGCTTACTTTTTGATGGCGCTCAGGCGTTTCGCTGCCAGAAGGACTCTGCCGTCAGTTATCTATTCAGATAACGCGCGAACGTTCAGCGGAGCCGATCAGCTGATGCAGCGGTACTTTGGCCATCTCGCTCCCCGGTGGAAGTTTATCGTGCCAAACTCACCGTGGTGGGGCGGTTGGTGGGAGCGACTGGTGCGCTCCGTGAAGGTGGGACTCAGGAAGTCGCTCGGCACAAGATGTCTCACTCAAGTGGAGTTAGAGACTGTGCTGACTGAGGTCGAGTCATGTGTGAATTCACGTCCACTGACTCAGGTGACTGACGCGATCGACTGCGAGAGTCTGCTAACGCCCAGTCATTTCCTCACGGGACGTGGCGCCGGCTTCCAGGCCAGGCTGCTGGAGGATCCAGAAGCGGTAAGTGGTAGAGCGCTCTCCGACAGGGCTAGGGTACGCGAGAGGCGTCTGAACCGTTTCTGGACGGTCTGGAGGGATGTATATTTGCGGAACCTCCCTCACTCGGTGCGCAACTTTTCGCATCACTGGTCAGCTACAGCCGGGGTCGGTGGTGCTCGTCAGGGAGGATAACGTTCCCCGAATGAAGTGGGTGATGGGGACCGTCACTAAGCTGTTCCCTGGCAGAGATGGGGTGACCAGGTCTGCTGAGGTTCGAACCCAGGGAGGGCACTTGAGGACCCGGGCAGTCCAGAGACTCTATGACTTGAGACTACTCGACTGATGCCCTCCACCTGACAGCAGCAGGCTGTGCGCTCCTCTTCTTACCTCTGTCCCCTCATAGACAGTTCGAATGAGAAAGGGCTGGACGGATTGAGGCAAAATAGGTTTGGATTGTCAAGGCAATCCAAAGGCGGGGAGGATGTTGTGAATTTAATTGTGACTCGCTATTAGATCTGCGTCGTTTTGTTGTGTTGCATTTAATTGATGTCACGGATGTGCGAATTGGAGTTGAGTGTTTTTGCCGCGTTGGGAGGTGCGGTCGTGGTGAGCCACGTGACCTTTGTCAAGGCTGGTATTTTGCGCCTTATTGTTGTTGTCGGCTAGTTTTCGGGTGATTCTGAAGTCTGAAGTTCTTGATCGGACGTTTTGTTCTTTTTTTGGCTGAAATGGATGCTTGAAGTATTCTCTTTTCAACATGGGTTTCAATACAGAGTGTGATTTAATTCGTTACAACGAGAATGGGTCTTTCTAACCAAACCTTACCTAACCTGACCTACAACCTACAGCCTTAAACCTAAAATTTACAACCTACGACCTAGTCCTACGGTATGGCATATCACGACAGCTTGTGCTACGTCTGCTACCATGACCCAACTTTGTTCCAATTCATACCAACTTGGGATGACAGTCACTGCAGATGTGTGCTGACCATGCAGGTCTTTGTTACAATTGCAATTCTATTGTGTTACAGGTTCGGAGTGCACTCCTAGCTTGCTTGCGTGCTCCAGCTTACCCTCACCCCTGTGGCCTGGAGGGAAACAGGAGAATGGACTCTGTTGCCAAGGAAAGGAGTAACCTCATCCAAGTACAAGTCTTTATTGACATACAGTAAGCCACCAAGCTGCCAACAGCAACAAGTGCCTGCACCATCCAGGCCTGGCCAGCCAGTTGGTTCTGACTGCTGACAGGTGGCAGACTCCCACTTGCGGCAACCAATCAGCGACTGTGAATGTCCACCAGCTATCAGCCATCAGCCAGCAACTGGACCGGCTCTACCCAGTAGCGCTGCAGTCAGGCTGGCGCCCTCTCGGCTAGCCGGGTGCAATCAGTGTGTTGACCATCACTGCAGAGCTGCATTCTGCCCCGTCTGTTGGGAGGAGGACACCCCGTAGCATATTCTCCTGCGCTGCTCGTTCCTGATGGGCACTCGGCATTGCCTGCTGGAATCCATCAACCCCAGCATGGAGGAAGTGCCGAGCAGCGACGTTGCGGCCCTGGGGGCCGCCCACAAGTCCCTCCAGACCTGTTTCCAGTCACCGTGGCCGAACTGGACTTCATAAACCAGCTAGGGGTCAGGGGAGCCACTGGAGACTCTGGCCCTAAGCTCGGTGCATCCGGCCCGCATGCAGGAATACCTTCTGCCTGACTGAGACACTACGAGTCGTCCCTCCCTCAGCTCGGTGATGAGGAACTTCAGGGGACTGTCCTGTCGGGAGTGTGAGGCGTTCTTCTGTGTGGTCCGTCATAAGCAGCTACGGCTCACTCCACAGGTCGTTCCTCGCCGGCTGTCAGATGACATCTTGCGCCAGCGGCCGACCGTGGCGACACACGGTGTTTCACGGCACTGTGCTGCAGCGCGCTGCGCGCAGCGGTGTATTGGGTCTCCATGGAAACATCAACAAACTCGCACATTCGCAACGCTGGAACGTCGAGACGAATTCCTCTCAAACGCCACACCAATGCAGCAGTGCATGGCAGCGCAGCGCCCTGCAGCTCGGGGCCGTGAACCGCCGCCTTGACAAAGTGTCTGCAACCCGCGACCTCGAGTCTCGAGACCGGCTCGCCATCTGGCGAGGTGTGCCGAGCGCCACCTGGAGCAACTGCCAGCGCGCCACGGCGGCGAAGCCGAGTTCCGCCGCTGGACCGCCCGCGCAATGGCCAGCACAGACAAGAGACAACCGAATCACAACACCTACAATTACGTTATTATTATGGTATTGTTACAATCAACCCTGCTCTTTCGAGCGTGGATGCACGCTGAAATTGTCGCATAATTCCATGCAGCTTCCACCTTTCTGCAATACAACGCTTGAATACAAAGTAGTCTTGCAATAGGTTTAGAACTTATGTGCAGATTGTCGATGCTGGTTGACTTGATGATTGGAATTGTGTTTATCTGTTTCATCTGTTTTGACTTAAATACATGGCCATGGACTATGGCCTACCTTGGGAAGTGTCTCTGATTTCAACAAAAAATTTTCATCAGGGTACGCTGCAGGGTACATAGTACATATGTAGTGAAAATTTTGAGCATGTATGGGTGCGCATGTAGAGATGTAGACTGCGAATGAGACGGACTACGACGGTTTTTGAACTAATTAAATCTGATTGACAACATAATGTAGGACTAAAAACTGACTGTCAGAAGAATATTCACAGAATATTCACTTCACCCGGCACAACGAAAAGGGAAAGTCAGGGAACAGAGGCAGGGTACAACATCTCGAAGATCAAATTGCAGGTGCCGATTGGTTATGACTTATGGATCATCGCAGCTCAAGGTACTGCCTTGTACTGCTTTATTTAACTGAAATTGCTTCCACCTTGTATTGAAAGAAGTCATTATTGAATATTTTAGAAAGGTTCTTGAAAATTTATAAATACTTTGAATTAATATTTCTGCAGAATTATACACCCGTATCATTATTTACATGTCAATATTTGTATATTATCTATCTTATAAGAAAATAGTGGCCTCAAGTTTCTAGGAAATATCTGATTTTGCTCTCTGAGCCACTGCAGAACCCTAAAAAGTTAGGAGCCGTCTTCATTATTTAATGTATAAAACCAAATAAATTATCACTGCTCAAAAGTGGAAGAAATGACAAATGAAAAAGTTTTCCTACAGCGTTGCAATCCAGATTCTGAGATAGTGATGGGCATACTAGAAAGCAAGTAAAAGGTATTGTAAAAGTACTCCACAAGGTAAAAGTAAGGAACAAGAATATCCTTATTCTGTTTCATAATTTGGTAACAAACATTTTTAATGTGTTTTAAATACCCGAACAAATCGATTCCAGAATCAGTCTTGATGATATAATATGGTTTTTGTATGCTGTTGGTGGTACTTGAATGACCAAAGTCAGTACATGTCCATCACCTTTCGATATTTCCGTGGTGCTCTCCCCCATTTCATAGCTGCTCACGGTGTTTTCTGCTGACGTCATATGGTGCTGCTTCACTAGCGCCACCATACGGCGTCAGCTGGCGAATTATCCAGTTAATACCAGAGCCCAAAAGTTGTGTATCCTACACAACACAGCACAACACACAGCAACACAGTGCGTCTCACAAAGCGATGACTGCCTCAGTGCGCCACAATAGCAATTATTGCAAGTAAACAAGGAATTGTTTTCTTGGCTTTCAAAAAATAAAAAAGAAGCTTATGTTTTATATGATTGATAATGGCTGATGAAACATAAATTATCATAAAAACTGCAGAACATTATTATTTTTCTGTTATTTCCTTATAGTTTTTTATCACCCCCATATATGAGTTGCTGAAGTCGCCCATGCACTTTTAAAGTTTAATTTTTTTCTTCTTATTTTGAGTTATAAAGTGTTTTATTAGCATCTAAAACAGTAAAATTTGTAAAAAGCATTTTTCATAGCTAAGATATTAAATTTACTCTCGGAAATAAACGTATATATTTATTGATTTTTGCAGCGCTGGAAAACGCACCAACGCCATCTTGTTGTTGTGTGTGGTGCTCTCCCGGATAAATTTACAGGGGATAGGGCCTGGGCTCCCAAGAAAGAAGAAGGAATAAAGGATTAATTCCTTTTCTTATCAACTGGAATTGGAACAGCACCCGGTAAGTACAATCCAGGGTTGAAAATAAGGAATAATAGCATAAAACGCTGCCTTTGAATTGACGCTTTGATGTGACGCTCTGGCTCTTAGAATTTGTGAATTTGCGTGTGCGTCCGATTGGAATTGTTATGCGTGCTACGATGTTAAAAAGTATTTTTAACTTAACTATTTTTGCTTAATCATTAAACATAACTTAATCCTGTTATTTGTGCTTAAAATGTGAGTCATGTAAAATTAAATCCAGCATTTTAAACTATTGCCGGATGAAGAATAGCTGTTAAAAGTCAAGATTAAGTCCTAAGCATATTTCATGGATAATTTTTTTCATATTCTCACATGATTCATCCTGAATCCAAAAATGATACTTATTTGTCTTGCAAATAAAAGAAAAAACAATCAAACCTGACCTAGCCTTACCTATTTACCTATAACCTACTAACCTACTACCTACAAACGTACAACCTAACGACCTAAAACCTACAAACCTATCTACCTACAACCTAAAACCTACAAACCTACAACCTGACCTAACCTAAAACATAACATTTTTGCTGTTACATATTTGTATCAACAGCGTCACAATTGTAGTTAGGACCTAAACTTGACATATACCGAATAGCTTTAGGGTTCAAACACTGGCTAAGCTCTGCTTGTTGCATGAAACAGGGTGGCCACCCATCTATGCAGCCTGCATCATGTTTCTTGACAGCATTATGTACTTGAAGTAAATGCATTGCAAGAAGATCCTTTGGGTTTGTAGTCTTCAGCTCAGGATTTCTGGCTATCACCCTTTTCACAGTTATAGTTTTACAGGACTGAACTGCCACCTACTTGTCTATTCAGACTACACATTTTGTCTAGAACAGGTATTGAGTGTTCTACAGTTATCCAGTAAACAAACCCTTTTGCGGCGGGGATACAAAATTTGGTGTTGTAAAATTAAAGCACAACAAAAAATGTGTGCATTTAGCTAGGTACTCCCCCAACATAATGCTGGTTACCACTCCATTCCTGAGCACTTTAAGTGCAATGCTCAGCAAGAGCATTGGTTTGGTGCCCAGTTTTTTTTTTTTTGCTAGGTTATGATTTTCTAGTGCCTTATGTCTAGTGCCCCATTTTGAAGGTTGTTGGAAGAACCTCTTTACGATTATCTTTGTCTTTTGTACTGACAACTGCGGCCAGTGTCCCAAAATTGAGTTTTGTCCTGGTTGTCAGAGAAGAAAATTACACACCAAAAAGAGGGGAGAGAGTGAAAAACTGCTGATTCGATTAGATCCAAAAAGGGTGAAAAACGACAAAAAACATGTATTTTATTCTAAGGTGTAGGATGCTTGGTGCTAAACCGGGCATCCACACAACTGCTCTTTCTATAGGTAAATAATCTAGGTTTTCTTGGTAGGGAGTGGAAAATTGTTCTTAAAAATTGGTGGTGAGAGTGGAAAATGAATTTCATTTGGATGTCGTTTCCCACCCAAATCGACAAATTTTGGGACATAGCAACTGCCTATGAACATTTACCACTTGATTTAGCATGCTTTGGGATGGGTATATCTTGAGCTGAAATTAATCTGTTTCTGCACTGCAATTGGAGCTTTTGTCACTTTTAGGACATTGAGCATTCTGCTTCATTGCTACATAATATTGAGAGGTGCTATTGCTTCATTGCTTCATTGAGAGACGCTATACCCAGAGATGCTTTTTTAACCAAACCAAAGCAAATATAACCTAACCTGACCTGACCTGACCTGACCTGACCAGAACCTAACCTACAATCTACAACCCACATCCCCAGGCAGTGTCCTGATTTTCGTGAATTTGGGTGGAAACCCACACCCAAACAGATTCTCTTTGTGACGTCCCGCAAAGCCAAACGACGTCCCTATATTTATATATAGGGACGTCGTTTTATATCATATATAGGTTTTGCACTTTTACATTTCTGGTTATATCTCAGAAACTAATTGATTTACGATGAAGCCATTTTATACGATCATGGCAGGCTTGTGAACCAACAAGTCGATCGCATCTTCAACACTTAAAAAGCTTAGGACGACGAAGATATAGCGTGAAGTATACTAAATTTCATAGGTGCAAAACCTGCAGCTAAAACCCGCGTGACATGTACAAAATGTACAGTCCACAGCAGAAGTAATGTGGGGTTTGAGTCATGGGTATGTTCTGCTTCTGAAGCTTAGGAACGATTAACCAGACTACAATGAAGCTTTGAATGTAGCTTATATGTATCGTCACCCTTGCAGCTGCAACTTTAGCTATTGACATCTTCTTTTTTATCACTCCGCATTAAACAATCGCCAGTCAAAGTCAACCGTTGAGATTGGTAAAACCCTACATTACTTAAGCGGTGGGCTGTACCTATATCTCGGAATTTTGGTATCGGTGACGTAAAGTCAGGTCAATTTTGCGACCTCTCCATTGTAAGGCAACGAGAGAAAATTGAAATGCCCCTCTTTTGGATAAATGGTGTTCAAAACCCTCTCAAACATCGGTTCATGGGTAAACATGACACACTGACTCGGAAAAATGCACCTGTGACACCTCTGTGTGCCCCTGACGTTATCTTAGGTCACAAACGGTCACGAGCAGTTTTTTGCTTTAACTTTTGATAGAGACGTGCTAGAGCGATGAAAACACGTCAGACTTATCCAGCTCGATGGGAGCCGATGACCACTGTAGTCCGGGCGCCCAAAAACCCCAATTCATCATCATTATCCAGCTCGACGATACGTATTGACTGCTATGCAACACGACCCTTTTCCGGTCAGGTCATGACCTTGACCGGAGGTCAAATTTTCAAGATGACCTTTCAAGTATTTCAAGTATACTACGAATACCCGGCAAAACCCCTGCTGGTTGAATGGACCTGACCTGACCCGACCTGGCCTAAATGTATGAAGCCATCACTGGTATCAAAACAAACATGATATTCGTGATCAGCACCCCGAAAAAAAAAAACATAGAATACACACTTTACGACGTTCTAACAGGTCCCGATTTTCCCGACTTTTGGGTCATTGACCTGACCTGGAAGGTCAACCAATGACATAGGACCTTAAAATTGGGTGTCATCGGCTTCTTCTCGTCACACGCAGCACACTCGTTTTTTTTCGCGAAGCTCTAGCTCGATCAGGGACGAAACGGCAAGGGGGGTCCAACGGACCCTCCTCATACGTTCGCGGCTGGCGAAACACCAATACGGGCGAGGGTTAAAATTGGGTAGGGTAGGATGGGGTAATTTTAACAGGTTGGACATTTGAACACACAAAATTACGGAAAATCCATAAGTGGTACGACAATAAGACCAATGCAATGAGGGAAATTATCGTACATAAAAGGGCTATCATATGAACGGGGTTAAAAGTTTCATGGATTGAAGATGCTGACGCACACTGTAACAAATCAATTTCGCAAGTAAAAACGCCCAACAACGCGTCATTGCAACTCCATTGCAGCGTAAAATCTTACATTGCTGCCTGCTGGCGCCTAATACGCAGCGGCTTTTGTTGTACAAGGAGCTAATAAGTGCCTTCAATCCAAGAAATTTGCCTTTGAAACCTGTTTTCAAATATGGCAAAATATTTTTTAGCGTGAGGTAATTTGAACATAAAGTGAGGTTTTCATTGAAGACCGGGATATCTCCGAAAAAAAAACGCTCCTATATAGTTGTCTTTTCCCAATATCTTCGACCCAAAGCAGAAGCAGATAAGTAATGCCAGTGTTGGAAAATCTATGTCTTTTATCCGTCCAAACTCCAATGTCCAGCATTTTTGTTGATTTTCCGTCCAAAAATGTCCAAGTTAGCCATTTGTCCAAATAGGTTCGAAAATTACGCAGTAATAAACACTTAAAACTCATTTAAATTGCTTATAATGTAATTTTACCAGCCGAAAAGTGTTCATTATGTTGAGATCTTAACTAAGCTTTCCATTCGCCAATCAGTGCTATGCACGGTTACTTGATAAAAATGCTGAAGTGTAGCAAGCTATCGTCCTATGTTGTACAGTTTGCTACCTTTGTCCAACCAATTTCGAATGGGACATGCAAATATTGATACTCTGCAACTGTTATTTTTGTTGTTGTGTTGATTTTTAAAATGAAGGTGTGCTTAGAATTGTTCTGCCCATTTGTTTATGGATCAAACAACTTCGGTGCTGGCGAGATTATCGTTTTGTTGTGGCACGTCGTAAAGGCAGCATGTTCAAATTACCCCACGGTGGGGCGATTTGAACTCACCGTGACTTTGTGGAGATGTGAGGCTATGCTATTCAAGGTATGCTCGGCTCGTCCAAAAATGAGGCTTGCAGGGTGGTGCTCCAAAACTGTTCTCCTCTGGATACCTCGGCTGTCCACCACTCGGCGTCTGAGGCGATCCCCGCCGCGCCGCGCTGGGTGTGCGCTCAGACGCGGCGGCGGCTCGGACCCAGGTGTGAGCGCGGCCAGCTGGTCGGCGGTGAGCCGAGCCGGGCCGCTGCTCGGTCAGTGACTCAGCGGCCGGTTTACGGCACCGTTCTCAGCCGCGCCAGCCCGGTCCGTCCTTCTGGTGTAGTAAGGACGCGCCGTGAGACCTTGAGGGAGGCGGAAGACGGTCTAAAGTCGTCTGGCGTCTGGGACTGGTGGAGTAGTGCGCGCAGCGCGGGCGCCGTACAGCCCTACCCCGCCCTGCACTGCTGTCGTTTGCTACGCCTTGCAGAAACGGTAGCCCACGCATCCCGCCGCGCTCATCTGCCGCTGCCACTGCTGCTGACCCTGAATGGCTGGGCGGTGGTCACCCTTTTACTTACACATTATATCGGTTGGGTGGCGGTCTTAACCGACAGCCACTATTATGCAACTCTTCCGTGTTGAGCCAGCTGGCTCGTACGCAGAGCCATTCCGGTGTGTAAAGCCAAACGGGTCCGATCAGACTGTCGGTGCCGAGACCGCCAGCTCCCCGCCGTTGCATGCCGTGTTCACGGCTGGCGGGCTGCGTCTCAGGTCCGCGCGCCGGGACAGGTACTAACGCGACGGCTCTGCAGCGGCTGTGACAACGTGCACGACCGGCCGGTCCCGTTGCTCGCAGCTCGTCTCCGAGATGGCTGCGCGCGGCCGAGCGCACCGCTCGGCCCGGCCGCCGACTTTCTGGGTCACACTGATGTGGGCGGTAGTATGCGGCGCACGGCGCGGCCCCGAGAACGGTTACCAGATCGGATTTTCTCAGCCCGAGTGCAGTGACCGGCAAGGATGAGGGCGCACTGCGCCGCTGGATTTTGTGATTTGACGACTAAGATGCCAGACTTCAAGTCGTTTCACGTGTATGATGGATCGGAGCAATGACACGGGATATGAACTATAGACTTGCACACAGGAATGTGCATTATCGTTTTGCGTTGTGGGCTGGCAGTTGTCTGTGCCCGTGCATAATGCATACAGTGGCAATATTTTACCTCGCCGTCACGGGAAGTGATGGTCCGACCGGCCATCTGTTGCAGCATACGAACGAATGACGGTATAATGCGGAAAGGTGACGCTCGGGGGCAGGTAAAAGGATTTCATTTGCTGCTTCGACACCTTCCTTTCGCTGACGTCGTTGGCCTTTTTGTTGAAGTGGTTTTATGTGACCGTGTTTTCATTCAAGGGTACAGGAAATCGTTACATGACCGTTTCCGGCGTAGGTTTTAATCGGCGACGCTGTGTCGGTAGTAAGCCATCGCCAGGCTTACTTACGTACCTGCTGACTGGGTCTGCCTGTGACTTTTGTACTTTCCCTGACTCACTGTGTACGACAGGCTCCTTCTCGGCCAGCTCTGGTAAACCGCTGTTCGCACCTCTCTCCATCCCTGCCTCCCCCTGGGCTGGAACAGGGCGCACGGTGCTGGGGAAGGAGCGCGCCCGGCTCCCGCGGTTGTTTGGGCTGAGAGGGGCGCATGGAGTCGGGGAGGGGAGCGCGCGCGCCTGTTTATTTGGGCGGGGCGCTGATGGCCGGGCGGGGACAGGAGCAGGGCGTGGCCGGCCGTCGGCACCGATGGCCGTCGTCCAGGTGCCGTCCGTCGCGCGACACGCCATGCACGGCCGCACGCACCTGTGTCGCCGGCACGACCCCGGCCGCCCCGCTGTATCCGGTCACCACAGTCAGCGACAGGCGGAGGCGGGCGCGAGTGGCTGCGAACCCGGCTGCTGCTCAGCGCGCGCTCGCGTGGCCGTGACGTCACGGTGCACCCACCTTCCCCCTTCCAATCGTCGCCGTCTGATGGCGGTCGGTGGCGCGTGCGGATGACGTCAGTGGAGCACCGACCGACCGTGCCCGCCCCCACTACCGGGACGGTGCGCTGAGTGGGCGCCGCCGCCGCCGCCGTCGCTGCCGTGGGAAGCATTGCAGGGCAGTGTGTGATCAGAGAGAGACATAGGAGCACGGTATGTCAGTGAGCTGTGCGACTCGGCGCGATCCACCTGTGTCTCAGTGTGTGCTTAGGGAGCAGCTGTGTGTAGCCGTACGGCAGTAATTACACCTCGCCTCAGCTTACACCGTACACCATGAGGTGCGCTCCGGGCTGGGGATGGACGGCCGCTGGGACGGCTAGTGTACAACGTGGTGGGTGTCTTGTGTCGACCGGCGGAAATTGGCCACTGGGTCACCGTCCCGACGGACTCCCGAGCTGGTGTCTTCGGAGCCTTTGTGTCCTCTCGTCTTTGTTCGGCTCCTTGGCCTTTTTGTTCGGCAGCTATTTGCGGACCGGGAGTGCGTGGGTGTTCAATCAGAGCATGCCAGATGACCTCCTAATGTCGTTGGTGGTAATTCATTTGCGCCAAGGCCTCCGGAGACTTTTGTGTAACTGTAATGATGCAATCATGCCCGGAACAGTGTCAAATCGAAGTTGCTGAAATTCGGGTATCGAGATGGAACATCGATTATCCCACTCCGCCCGTTCTTTATTTATTTTTTTATGTGTCGTAGACCTCCGCATCAGATGTAAAGAAGTCTGAGAAGACCTTGGTGGTGCTTTGAATGCCTCTCTCGGTGGATGTTTTTCCGAAGAGCATCATAGTTTTAAACTCAAACAGATCCGTTATACGCCGCGCGTCCCATTTTGTTGCCGCCTTTCCGTCCATAAACAGGGAATCCCACGTATGTGGTGGCTGAGGCCCGAGTTGTGAGAACTCTCGCAGGCTGACTGCTCCCGCTCTGCTCTCCGACCGGCTCTCGCAGCCACAGCTCTACCCGACGGATATTGACCCGCCGCTGTCTCTGTTCTCTCCGCAGACGCTGGGGCGTTCCATTGAGAAAAGCAGCAGCTAAATGAGAGCCGCTGGGCATAATGTCAGGTGTGTCAGCGAACCAAAGCAAGGGGGACAAGAACTCCAAGTCAAAATACTCGGCGGTTAAGATTAATGATCTGTTTAAGGTGAGTGGTTTATTTGGTCAGTATGCGCATGTTTGGAATCACTTGTGTTTCTATCATGTTATGGTGCCTCTCAAAACTGTTCGAAGTTAAAGCGTCTCACGGACCAATACCGATGTCATTTAATAATAAACACTCGCGTTAGTAGAAATAGCGATGTGCCGATCTTGACAATGTCTGACGTGGAGTCAATAATTATTAAATATGTTTACTCGTGAGCCCATTAGATCAATGTGTTATGTAAAGTAACGTTCAAAGCATACTCATGCCTCGGCCTGTCCGTCTATGATCTTTTCCGATGCCAAGAGCCGTTTGCGCTGCAGTGAGTCGCTGCTTCGTCTCTGACTTTCGGCCAGCCTGTTGCTGCCTCCGGCAGTTGTTGGCTCCGTGATAGTGGACTGTCGGCCGTCTGTAGGCGGAAGGCCGTCCGCGCCCCTCCCCCTCCCCTCCCCCGCTCAGTTCTGACGGCCCTTTCCGGCGCGCCGCAGGGAAAGCCAGTCGATATCCAGCCGCGCCAACCGATCACCAAGCATGGCTTCCAGAGTTTGGGTAAAGTTGTGCCGACGCGCAGGATCCCGCCTCCTCCTAACCTGCCAAGGTAAGGGACCGTTGCGTGCCGTGCGGATGCCGGGCGGATGTGTAAAAATAGCGCCGCAGCTCCGGCGGTAGTCGAGTTCAACGTTTGGCTGTTTAGTCTGTCAGCGGCTTCTCGGTAGTTACTCTTTGTGGGAGAATTGTTGGGTTTCTTGGAGCGGTGACTGTTCAGTTGACAGCTGTTGTGGGTTACTATGTGTTGTAGTATAGTAGACGCTATCCTACATAAAATGCAATGCCGGTTGTTGTGGTTTGGACTAAAGAGCGTATTGTGATTTGCTTATCACTTAATTGCATGCGTATTAACTTCAATGTTCTATATTTCAGCCTGAAATCGGAGAACTTTGGAAACGACCCTAATATCAACCTTGTGCCAGCCGGGGGCTCAGGATGGGGTTCGAAGGAGCAGCCGAGTACTGGAGCGGAGTCGTCCGGCAGTGCGCCGCCCCCAGCTGCTGCTGCTGCTGCTGCTGCAGCGGCGCCGGCGCCGGCGCCAGCGGCAGCAGCGGCGCCCCCTGCAGCACCGCCCACAGCGGCGGCGGCGGTGGCCGCGCCGCCCGTCGGGCCGCCGCCGACCGCCGCCGCCGCGGTGGCTCGCGGTGTCGGGCTGCCCGGCTCCGAAAAATCCTGGAGCAACGTGACCTCCGGGCCGCCCGACGCCGGGCCCGCGCCCTCCTACTTGGCACACCAGTCGCCCTACTTCCAGCAGGAGTTCCCCTCGCTGGCGGCCGGCGACGCGGGCGGCGATGCGGCGGCGCAGAAGAAGCAGTCGGGGACGGCGGCGGGTGCGGGTGGGACGAGCTCGGCGAGCAGCGCGCCGGACGGCCAGCCGCCGGCCGGTCCGAGCCTGCGGCCGACCACCGAGGGCAGCTGGACGCAGGGCGGCGGCCGCCGGCCGGAGCCGGGCCCGCCCACCGGCGCCACTGCCGCGTCTGGACGGGCGGAGGGCGCCGGCTCCACCAGCTCGGCCGGCCCGCGTGCGCCTCCTGCCCCGCTGGGCCCGGCCGGCCTGCCCATGCGGCCCATGGGACCGCCCATGATGGGCATGGGCGGCCCGATGCCGCCGCCCTACCGCGGCATGATGCCGCCCTACATGATGCGTCCCGGCTTCCCGGGCCCCGGCCCCGGCTACCCGCCGAGCTACCCGGGCGGCCCGGCGCCGGGCGGCATGCCGCCGCGACCTGGCATGTACCGTGACCAGCGCGGCGAGCCGCGGCCGCCACTCACTGACCACCGACCCATCATCAAGGCTGAGGACCTCAAGAGCTTCGACGAGATCGCCAACAAGCGCGACGACGGCTGGGCCGGAAACACTGCCGAAGTCGACTACAAGTGAGTGAAATGGCCTCAGCTGACATGGAGTTTACACACTGTTTTGTTGATACTGCTGAAAGGCTGAAGTGGTAACATCTCGTTAGAAGGATATCTGATGCCAGCTGCTTTTGTTTCTTCACGTTCACATTTATAACTTCAGAATCGATGCATCTCACGATGATATTCTGCATCTCACGATGATATTCTGCATCTCACGATGATATTCTCGCCCGTGCTTGTTTGTTAGTTTCATGCGTAGTGTTTCCCGCGTGGTGTCCCTTCCCGTCGCCGCCCCTGACGCTGTTCAGCCTGCCGATCCTCTAACCATTTATGTCCGCCGTGTCTCCGCAGTAAGAAGCTGACATTCTCCGATGACGAGAGCGAGCCGGATGACGAGCGGCGCGGCGGCCGGGCCGGCTCCGGCTCGGCACCACCCAAGGGCGGCCGAGAGCCCCGCGACCAGCAGTGGGAGCGTGAGCGCGACCGGCCGCCACCGTCTCACACGGACGGGCCGCCGCCGCCGCGCTCTCACGGGCCGCCGCACTGGGGCGGGCCCGGAGGACCGCCGCCGTTCGACTACCGACCGCCGCCGCACCCCGGTCAGTACCGCTGGCCGCTGCGCACTGCGAAGCAAGGGAGATAAGGAGGGACATGGCTTGAAGCTGTGGCGGCGGACTTGAGTGATTCACAAACGCACCAGGCAAACTTTTCTTTAAACTTTTCTGTAAATGCGTAGCTAGTTTCTGGGAAATGGTCTCTCGACAAAGGAAATGTGTGGAATTCTTTTCAAATTTCGGCTTTTTTTGTCGGCATCTCGCTAGTGTGACTTTCCCGATGCGTCCATTTGTGGTCTGACTTTGTTTCTCTTTTTCAGGCTTCATGCCACCACACATGCGTATGCGCGGCGGTATGGGCGGCTTCATGCCGGGCATGCGTCCGCCGGGCCCGGGCGGCCGCGGCGCCGAGGACGAGGAGGCCTGGAAGCGCCGCCAGTCGGACGAGGTGAATGTGGCCGTGGAGCGCGCCCGCCAGCGGCGTCAGCAGGAGGAGGCGCGCTTCGAGCGCAGCCAGGGCTCGCGCGGCCGTGACGACGAGCCCGAGGGCCGGCCGCCGCCGTCGGGCAAGGAGGACGCGCCGCCGCAGTTCTCTCGCCAGTTCCAGTCGGTGCTGCCGCCGCGCTTCAAGCGCCAGCAGTCGGGCGGCGGAGGGTACCGCGGCGGGTACGACGGACGCGATGGACGCGGCGGCTGGTCAGGATATGACGAGCGACCGCCGAGCCGGGACGCGGACCGGCGCGGCGGCCGGCCCCCGCCCGACTACTACGAACGGGAGGACGGCCGCGGAGGCCGCCAGGACGAGTACCAGCGCGGCGGCCGGCGCGGCAGCGGCACCGACCACGACAGGCCGACGCAGCCAGAGGTGACCGTGCAGCGCGACCCATTCGACGAGAGGCCTGAGAGACCGGAGCGGCCCGAGCGTAGTGATCGCTCCGAGCGGTCCGAGCGCTCCCAGACCAGTGACGACAAGGCTGGCTCGGCTCTGACCGACTACGCCACGGAGGAGTATGACTACGGCACCTCGTGGGCGGACCAATTAGAGAGCGAGGTGCAGTCGCAGCGTGACGAGCCGCCGTCCAAACCGACCGAATCTTCTAAACCTGACCAGGAGCAGACTGGCGGCGACTGGCGCCGTGAGAAGAACGAACGCCGGCCGGCCGACGCCGAGAAGAGCTGGCGCAGCAGCAAGCCGCGCGCCGACCACGATGGCGACAGGCGCGACACTCACACGGACAGGAGAGACGCACCGTCAGAGAAACGGGACACGGACAGAGACAAACGGGAGCCGCACCGCGAGCGTCGCGAGCCCTACCAGGATAAACGCGACGGCCACGAGAAGAGAGACCGCCGCGAACCGGGCGAGGGACGCGGCAGCCACGACCGCAGGGATGGACACCCGGAGCGGCGCGATCACCACGGCGGCGACCGGCGCAACAGCCACGACAAGCGCGACGCGCGACCGGAGCGCGGCGAGCGGCGTGATCAGCACGAGGGGCGCGGCGGCCACGAGCGGCGCGACTACCACGAGAAGTCGCGGGGCGAGCACCACGAGAAGTCGCACCACGAGCGCCGTGAGACGCGCCACCACGGCCCTGTGCCGCTCCTTACCAGAGAAAGGCTCGAGGCTGCTGAGCGCGAACGGGCGCCCAGCTCCGGCATGACTGCGCTCAAACAGGAGCCGGTCAAGCTGCCACTGACGCTGGCCAAGGAGCCGGAGCAGTCGACGGCCGACGAGGACAAGCCAGCGCCCCCGAAGAACGCGTGGGCGGCGCGTGACGCGAACAGACCCTCTCCTCCTGTGGAGAAACCGTCGCCGGCGCCGACACCGCCCACTCCGACGGCCGCTGCTCCGGAGCCCAAACCCACACCGACCGAGGAGGCTGCTCCGGCGCCCAGGGCCGCTCCCACGCCTCCGGCGGCCGCTGCGACTGCTGCCGACCAGTCGTCGGAGCCAGCTCCGGCGGCTGCTGCACCTGCCGCCACGGCCGAGACGGCCGACCGGCCGCCCGAACGCCGCGAGCGGAGCGGCGGCCGCGGCGCGCGGCAAGACGCCGGCGAGGGCGGCCGCGGCGGGCGGCACGAGTCTGGCGGGGACGGCGCCGGCCGGCGCGGCCTGGCCGTGTACCCGGGCCAGGGCCGCGGCGGCCGGTATGCCGTCAGAGGGGGCCGGGGCGGCGGCCGCGGCGGCTGGGAGGGAGACCGGTACTCCCACCAGACCGGCTACGAGTATGACAAGAGGGACAGGAGGCCGAGGCGGGTGAGTACGGTTGGTCTCTGTATTGGATGGATGGACTTGGGTCAGTTGTCACTCATTTGTCGCACTTTTGTCACTCAGATTGGTAGTCGACTATTAGGCATTAGGCCACAACATTTGATGCAACGTATTAATCGCTTTTGTCCGACTTACAATGATTTACGAATATTTCCTAGTCAGCAGTTTGTCGCGTATTTACATTCGGTTTTTCTGCCGTATTTGCTCATTAAACAGTTTGTTGCGTAATTACGTTTTTATTTTCCAGTTGCCTAACTTAGACGTGATGATATTGCGATTCGCGAATGTGCATTATTCGGCTATGCCTTTAACTCCCGTTTCCCTTCGCAGGATGACCGTGGCGGCGCGGGAGAAAGGTCCGACAAGTACGAGCGGTACGACAAGTACGAACGGTACGAGCAGCGCGGCGACCGGCGCGGCGAACGCGGTGAACGGGGTGAGCGTGGTGAGCGCAGTGATCGCGGCGGCGACCGGCAGAGAGGCGACAAGGAGGGCCGGCCGCGCCGCCAGGACGGCAGCGAGCCGGGCAAAGGACGCGACCAGCGCCGCCATCCGCCGGCGAGGGACGAGGAGACGACCTCAGCTGCTGCCGGCAAAACGGAGCAGACGCCCTCACCGGCGCCCGAGGGAGAGAAGAAGGCGGAAGCGGAGAACAAGCCGGCCGCCACTCCGCCCGCGGCCGCGACAGACAGCAAGGAGGAGAGCGGAGAGAAGGCGGAGAAAACTGGAGAGAAGGAGGCAAAGAAGCAGACCGGCGAGAACGGCCAGGGAGGGCGCGACAAGGCGGCATCGTCGGAGGGAGCCCGCGACAAGCGGCCACCGCGTGAGGACGTCGAGGAGCGCTCGCACGCTGACCGTGGTGGATATGCTCCACGCGGGGAGCCGTCTCGGCGCGGCCGGGGCGGCTACGAACGTGGTGGATACGAGGGCGGTCGGTACCGCGACGGCGGGCGCGGCCGGTCGCGCGAGTACCGCTCCCAGCGTCAGTACCCACCGGCTGACGAACAGAACGGCGACAGCAAGACGGGCAAGTGGTCGAACCGGTACGACCAGGTGCCGCCGCGCTTCCAGCGGCACCGCGCCGAGCGGGACGACCACCAGGAGGGCGGTGGCCGCGGCCGTGGCGCCTACCGCGGCCGCGGAGGGCGCGGCGGTGGTCGGGGCGCCGCTCCGCCGGCTGCCACCAACGGGCAGTCGGCCGCCGAGCCGGGCGCCGGCCGGCCGGCCTTCACCAAACAGACCTCCGAGCAGACCAACGAGGAGGGCGAGTGGGAGACTGCCTCGGAGAGCAGCAACCCGGAGGGACGCCGGGCCCGCAACGCGGCCGGCAAGGAGGGCCGCGGCGGGCGGAGGAGCTCCGGACAGCGGGCGGCCGACCCGCCGCGGCGGGAGCGGCGCGGCGGCGGCGGAGACGGTGGTCGGCGCGGCGCGCCTGCCGCCGGCGACAAGGCGGGCAAGCCTGCCGATGCCGGTGCCACCGTCGCCAGGGTGGATGAGATAAAGCTGAACGACGCCGCCGGCGCCCAACAGGCGCTGGCTGACGCTACCAGTAAAAAAGCGGCGGCGGCGGCTGTCGACAAGGCCTCCGAAAAGAACAAGAATGGCTTCGAGAATTACGACCTCAACTCGGGCAGTGTAGTGATTGTGGACGACCACCCAGACGTGTCGGCTGACCAGCTTCAGGAGACCGAGGGCTTTCAGGAGGTGCTCAGCAAGAAGACGGCGAAGGAGCGGCAGAAGGCACTGCAGGAGGAGCAGCTGAAGGCGCAGAAGCGCGAGGAGCGCGCCGCCCGCCGGGCCGCCGAGCGGGAGGCCAATGCCGCCACCCGCGGCAAGCAGTACGAGCGCTCGCGACAGAGCAAGCTGCCGCCGCGGCTGGCCAAGCAGCGCGAGAACAGTCGCCTCCAGCAGAAGCAGTCCGCCGACCTTCCGCCGGCCTCGGCCAGCCCGGTGGGCACCCTGCCCGACAGCGACTCGGCAGACCTGTTCGGCATCAAGGACTCGGTGCCGGCGCCGGCGCCCGCCGTCAACGCCTGGGACAAGCCGATCACGGCCTCCCTGCGCGGCAGCTCGGGTCCTGGACACCTCAGCAGCGTCGACCCGGCGGCGCCCAGCCAGCTGTTCGACGCCGCTGACGTGCCTGGGGCCGGGTTCGCCGCCGAGCGCAAGGCCACGCTCGACGCCACCACCTTTGACGGCTCCAGTGTGCCCACTAAGACGATGATCTTCGAGAACACCAACTACAAGAACACGGGTAGTGCGCCGAAACCGGCTGCGCACCGCACCGAGCCCGTCAAACCGACAGAGACGGAGAAAAGAGCCAAGCCGGGACCCATCGAACTGCCGCTGATGTTCAAGAGCGAGGAGACTCGCGAGATCAAGCTGGAGTTTAAGTTCGACTCTGACCTGCCGCTGCTGGCCGACAAGTCGCTGCCGACTCCGGTGGCCTCTCGTTCCAGTCCCGCGGCCATGTCTCCCGGCACGGCCGACCTCAACATGAAGATCGCCTCTGTGAAGAAGGTATGGGACACGCCGGCCGAGCTGCCGGCGATGGCGGCCTCGCTGGCCGAGCAGCAGGCGGAGGAACTGGTCTCTGAGGTAACCAGCAGTGAGCCGCCGGCAGAGAAGGAGGTGGCCGCCCCGGTGCCCGACTGGACAGACAAGCCGGTGGTGTCGCTGGCGTTCGCCGCCGCGCCGGTGAGCACCAGCAGCTCGCCGACCAAGGCGCCGGCCTCAGACGTGTCCGCTGCGTCCACCAACGTGTGCAAGGTGAAGCCGCAGCAGTTGCACAGCGCGCCGGCCGCCTCGTCTGCCGGTCTGACCATGTGCAGCGCGCCCGGCGGCGTGGTGGGCGGTGCGCCCGGTCCTGTGACGGCCGGCCTGCCCGGCGCCGGCATGTTCCAGCCGGCGGCCGCGCAGCTGGGAGGCATCCCGGCCGTGCCCTCGCCGCCGGCGGTGCTGTTCGGCTCCAGCCAGCCGCTGCAGTCACAGACGCCCGGCCTGTACCAGCCGTTCCAACTGGACGCCACGGCGCCGGCCGCGCTCATGGGCCAGCGCCAGCCGTCGGCGCAGTACTCGCAGTTTCCGTACGGCATGGGCACCAGCACGTACAGCCAGCAGTCGATGCTGATGCAGACGCCGCCGCCGAGCCACGGCGGCCCGTCGGCTGAACTGATGCCGCAGTACCGGTTACCGCAGAGCGGGCCTTACGGCCAGCCGGCGGCCCACCAGACGCCCCAGAACCCTCTGCTCATCAGCAGCACCGCCTCGCTGATGTCGGCCGGCGTGAAACCGTCTGGCGCGCCACCCTCGGCCGCGCCCGGTCCGGCTAAGCCCAGCGGCGCGCCCTACCACCAGCAGTCGCTGCAGTTTTTCCAGTATAACCCGAACCTGCTGAGCCAGGGCATGGGGCCGCACATGCTGGGTTCCCAGCTGGTGCCGCGCCAGCAGGCGGTGACACCCACCAGCAGCTTCTACAGTGGCACGCAGACGACGCCCTATTTCCAGGGCGCCGGCTCGGTGCAGCAGCCGCCGGCCGCCCCCGTCCAGTCGTTCGGTCTGCAGGGCTTCAACAACATGGGCCAGTCAACACAGAACGTGGGCCTGGGCATCCAGCAGCTGCGTGCCGCCGCCGGACTGCAGAACACCTCGTGGAAGTCGGAGAACGCGCGCAACCTGATGTCGAGCGGCCTGAACAGCTCGCTGATGCCCGGCTCGCGGCCGCAGGGCTCCAACATGCACCCGCTGTCGCCCAAGCCGGCCGTACCGCCTGGCACGGTGGTACAGTACCCGGCGCCGCCGCCCAACGCCGCGGCCGTGGCGGCCGCCGCCGCCGCCCGCTCGCAGATGATGTCTCAGTTCCGTGGGGTGGGTGTCGGCGGAGCGCCCGGCGCGCCGGCGGTAGCCGGTATGCCGCCGACGGCCCCTCAGCGCTACCAGAACCCCATCCAGCGTCCGGCCGGCGGCGCGGCGTCCGGCGGCGGCGGCGGCAAGTCTCCGCGCCACGGCGCCGGCCCGCAGCGGCCCAACCCGACCTCTGCCGAGCAGGCCAAGCTGCGTGAGGCGGCGCTCCAGTCAGCGCAGAGCTTCTTCCGCAGCAGCGAGAACGCCGCGCACCAGCAGGGTGAGTAGCGCGCCGACACGGACGGACGGGTCGGTCGGCCGGCCCACTGATCCGACTACGATACTCAGCTCGTTTCCATGGTACAATTAGTTCAGATTAGCTTGTGTCCAGTCTCCTTGTACTTAGCTAGTTGTCATGTGTACTGCTGAGTTCATTCTTCATAGCGGGTTTGATTACGGTTTTGTGACCGTAGTTGACAGTCGCACTTTTAGTTTTCAATTTGTTCTTGTGAGTAATATCGGGGTTGACCATTTCGAATCAGACTAGTTTTGCTTTTAACAAAGTCCAGTGCCATCCGCACGGTACCCATGTAATTGGTACGAGTGACTTTTTTTGAAAGTTCAATGTGTTAACGTGTTTCCATTATTTTCCAGCAAAAGCTAACGCGTACAACCCACCACCGGCTAGCAACGTCAGCTCAGAAGGTGAGCCATGCTTCTGGCGATTGTCTTGTGAATGAGGGGGAGGGGCGTAACCGCAGCTGTGAAGCTGCTGAAGAGAACGCGCTTTGCGTGTTTGTGGGCTAGTTGCCATTGGCTTATATTTCATATTACTCTGTACTGTACTGTACTGATCAGTCCGTGTTTTCACTAATTGTAATTGCATGTATTGCTTTCTACTTTCAACGAACAAAGATAATTGACTTAAGCTTTTGAGGTTAATAACAAAATACGTTGTTATTTAAAGTCTCTTATACACCTCTTATTCTTCTTTTCAGCGAAACCAACCAACTTCGCGCAAGACACCTCAAAGACCGAAGGTGAGGACAACCCCTTTTTGTTTTCTCATACTTATCATGGCTAACATTTGCTGATCAATCCCTACAACGGCTGAATGTGGTACAAATTCAGACACTACCGTATCCCCCCCCCCCCCCGATTCACGCCCAGAGACTGAGCGTTCCGTGGGATTTTCATTTCTGACGCCTTTTTCTCTGTGTCCGGCAGCGCCCAAGAGCAGCGCTCCGTCGGTGGAGCCGAGTCCGCCGGCAGCAGACAGCAGCAGCAGCGGCGGTCCGGCGGAGGCGGCGCCCGTATCGGAGCCGACGGCACCCAGCGGGGAGGAGACGACCCCCGTCCCTGTCGCCGAGCCCGTCCCCGCCGCCGCGCCGGCAGCCGGCGGCGAGACGGACCCGGCCGCCGGGGAGCCGGCCGCCCCCGCCCCCGCCCCCGCTCCGGCCCCGGCGACCGCCGACGAGTCAGTCCCGGCGCCTCCGTCCCCACCGCCCCCCGCCGAGACCGCCACGGAGGCGGCGCCGGCGGCCGAGCCGGCTGCGGACTCCGACGAACCCGCGCCCGCCGCCCCGACAGTGGAGGAGGAAAAGTGAGCGGCGGATGTGTTATCGACCTCAAACGAACAAGTCATTGTCTGCCTACGAGTGTCCCACCTGTCACCGACAGTGGCGGGGCTCGCCGAAACAATGAGTGACGCGACTTCTGAACGGACTCTCTCGAACCCGCCGAGCGACCTGTCCATGACTGGTTGGCCCCGGCCGAGTCCGGGTGAAACTGACGGGTAGATTGGCACAGAGAAGACATGCATTTGTGAAGGGCGGCGCAGCTGCCAGGCGGGCGGCTGCGTTGTAAGAGAAGCCCGAGCATTTCGAGGAGCCGCCGAGGTGCGTCCGTTCCAGTACGCTGAAGTTCTGACGGCGTCCGGTCGTCTGCGGGAAACAAATGAGATTGCCGAGAGGAGTCCGCCCGAGGCGTTAGGTTGTTGCACGAGTCAGGAGGTCCGCGGCGGGGGCATCCGGCCGTCCCACGCACACGGACACGTTCTCACGTACACACTAACTCAGAGAAGCCGACGCGCCCAGGGCGACCTCAGCTCGACCAGAGCAGCGACTGGCGGTAATACTCCGAGGTGGCGGCCGGTGGCCGGGCATTCTGCGCAGCCGGCCGGCCGGGCGGCGCTCTCCGCCCGCGCCGCGCCGCCGCCGCGCGCGCGCGCACGTTTGTGTACAGGCCGCTCTCGTCCAGGGGCGGCCGTTTCCGCTCCCCGTGTCTCGTCCGGTTTTAGCCTATGTAGAATGTGATGGCTCACAGAGCGGACGCCCGGTGACTGGCCGGCGTCGACGAACAACTGGTGGTACTCTTTCTTTCGGGGAAGTGGTAATAAATTGTGTTGGACGTGACGTGTCGTTCCCGGAGCGTTTGCAGGCTGCTATTATTTGGTGTGGAGAGCCGCGCGCAGGATCATGGGTGTTATGTGTCATTCACGAGAGGGCTTAACGAGTTATTCCACCTTGTAGTTCAAGCTCAAATCTTATTTCCTATTATTTCAATAAACAGAAATATTTTGTTTGTGTTTCGTTGAATAAAGTGCAGTGAGTGAACAGAGGAACGCACTAAATCGGCAGGGTCTTTGAGTAAATTGGGCAACCGAACACTTCATCGTTAAAACAAAAAAGCGGATCCATCACATCGTCATTACTTAATTATCTCGCTCTCGTTTAGGGGTGTAAATTAATTGGTATGAGGTACCCAACGCATGATAAGCTGTGCTCAACCTTACAATGTTCACAGCGAGGGCCTCTATTACAGTTCATCGCAGCTGCTTTATGACTTACGAGGTGCTCTGCCATAGACTGCACATGAATTGTCGCTGTCTACCTCGAACAAGTGAGCTTTTGGCGAAGAATTACGCTGCCCGCGTATAGGGTATCGCTGATATCGCCAACATTGAAATGCAATAGCACTTAGGTATGCAATTTAATTTTCCGGTATGTATTTCACAACGTATTTTGTGTCATTGTGTTTTAGTGTTCCGGGATAATGGGATCATGAATGCTGAACCATAATTCGAATATCCGCAATGTCCACCATCAAATGTCTCGAGTTCTTTTTCGGCGAGGTACCCCAGTTCACAGCGCTGGGCAGCCGGTATCCGCACCTCACCAAGTTGACGATCGTGGGCCAGGCGACGCTGACCTCTCTGCGCGGCCTGGAAACTCTGCCCCTGCTGCGGGAGCTCTGGGTTATCGAGTGCGGCCTGCGGAACATCGCCCATCTCGACCATGCCGAGCGTCTGGAGAAACTCTACCTCTACTCCAACCGGATCGAAGCGATCGACGGTCTGAGCCGATGCTCGGCGCTCAGCACGCTCTGGCTGGACGACAACTGCATCGGCGCCATCGCCAACCTCAGCCTGCTGCCGGCGCTGCGCGAGCTGAACCTGGCCCAGAACCGCATCTACCGCCTGGAGGCGATCGACTGGGGCGAGAGTGTCGAGTGGCTGAACCTGAGCGGCAACCCGCTGCCGCTGACGGACCTGCCGGCGCTGGCGCAGCTGCCGCGGCTCACCGCTCTCCACCTGCAGGACCCCATGTACGCACCGGCGCCGTGCACGCGGCTGTGTAACTTTCGGCTGTTCTGCGTGCAGCTGCTGCCGCGGCTGCAGGTGCTAGACGGCGTGTCGATCACTGAGCACGAGCGGTATACATCCCGACAGCACCTGGCCTCGCGGCTGGTCTACTACCGCGCGCTGCGCCGTCACGTGGCCGCGCGCTGTCAGGAGCAGGTGGCGCACCTCCGCCGAGACTGGCACTCCTTCCTCACCGCCATGGGCACCCGGCTGCGACAGCTCAACGCCAAGCTGGTCGAGGTGGCCGCCGCCGGCGAGGCCGACCCCGGGGACGGCGGCGAGCCGCCCGTCTCCGCCGAGACACTCGCGGCGTTCCGCGGCGCGATCCGCCGCCGGATGGACGGAGTGACGAGCGTGGCCCGCGGCCAGGCGGCGCACAGCAGCGCGCGGCTCGGCATGCTCGTCAAGCGGCGACAGCTCGTCCAGTCCTTGCTGGAACTCGAGTACCGCACCGTCGGCAACGTGCGCTGCGAGGAGCTGCACGTGGGCGAGGGTCCGGCCGGCAGCCGGGTCTCGGCGCTCAACCGCTACCTCGGCCGCGAGAAGATCGCCCTCTCGGCCACCAAGAATGTGCACTTGATGGCGATGTACAAGGTCAACAATCGCTTCCTAGAGAACGTGATGGTACAGAGCAGTGCGACTGACAAACAGACTCGCGTGCTTGACCGATTTCTGACTACGGACAGAGCCAGAGACATTGACTGGATCCTGGAGGCATGCAAAGGCAACATCATCACCCAAGTGATGGTCAGCACAAACCTGAATGGTGACGAGGCTGCGGACGGTCGGCCTCAGTCGGCGCTGCGCCAGTATTTCGGCTGTTTTCGCGAGGCGCTGCTGGTGCAGGTGCTGGCGCTGCCTCAGGGTAAGACGGTGCCGACGCGCGTGCCAACCTCGCTCGGACCCGACTCCGAGGAGCTGGCCAGCCGGAGGATCATCCTGGCGCCCAAGTTCATCCTGCTGTACACGCTCGGGGAGGTGTACAATAACCGTCCGCTCACCTGTCTGGCCAGCTCGAGCCTGGACGACGACCTGCTCAACTCGGTGTGCCTGCCGACGAGCCGCGCCGAGCGGAGCCCCACGGCGGCGCTGCGTCCCGGCGAGCCCGGCGGCACGTCTGTCTCGCTCTCCGGCAGAGGCATCGAGGCCATCGACGGCTCGGAGAACGTCGCCTGCCTCCGCGAGGTGGACCTGTCGTTCAACGAGCTCAAGTCGGTGGCATTTCTGCGCAACATGCTCCACCTGACCACGCTGGACCTGAGCTTCAACGACATCGATAGCGTGACCGCGCTGCCGATGATGCCCAGTCTGGCGTCGCTGAACCTCTCCTGGAACCGGCTGGAGAACCTGCCGAAGGTTCTGCGCCGGCTGTCGGTCGCCAGTCCGGTGCTGCGGAAGCTGAACATCACGTTCAACCCGTGGCGCGTGCCGGAGGAGCGCCAGTGTCAGATGGTGGCCGTGATGCTGCCGGGCCTGCAGGAGCTACAGGGACAGAGCCTCTCCTACCCGGAGTCGGCCGTCACCACGTTTCGACGTCTGCATTGCCCGATGGAGATCGGCGACCTGAGCCTGCCGCCGCCGGCGCCGCCAGCCGAGGGCACCGGCCGACTGGACCCCCGCAAACTGACGGCCATCTGTCTGGACGGCCAGATGCTGCAGAACCTCAAGTGCATCAAGGACGTCCCGTTCTTGCAGAGGTTGTCGCTGAACGACAACCTTCTGACCTCGCTGCGCGGGCTGGAGGCGTTTCCACACCTCGAGTATCTCTCTGCCGACTTCAACGAGCTGGCCGACTTCACGGGTCTGCCAGCGCCGGCGCTGAAGCTCCGTTCGCTCAGCGTGCGCCACAACACCGTCACCTCGCTGTCGTCACTGGCGGAGGTGGGGCTGCCACTGCTGGAGCTGCTCGACATCTCTGGAAACCCGGTGTCCAGTCTGGCCGGCGTCGAGCGGCTGACGGCGCTGACCGAGCTGTACGTGACTGCCTGCCGGCTGAAGGTGCTGTCGGCGCTGACACCGATCGCCACGTGCCGCCGACTGCGGGCGCTGGACGCCTCGGGCAACCCGGTGTGCGCCGAGCCCAACTACCGCCGGTTCGCCGTGTACCGCTGTCGGCCGTTGCAGATGCTCGACGGCGCCAGCGTCGGAGACGACGAGCGCGGTGAGGCGGTGCGCGCGCTCAGCGGTCTGCTGAGCCAGGACCGGCTGATGGAGACTCTGGCACCGGCGCAGCTGCGCTCCGTCACCCAGTTGGACCTTCCCAGCTGCGGCGTGCGCCAGGTGGAGCTTCCCACCGACTGCCTCCAGCAGGTGACCAGTCTCAGTCTGGAGAACAACGAGCTGACCGTGCTGTCCGGCCTGCAGCGGCTGCCGCGGCTGCGAGTGCTCAACCTCACCAACAACGCAGTGCGCCGGCTGCGGGAGCGCGCCGAGCCACCACTACCGGCGGGCTCGGCGTGTTTCCCGGCGCTCCAGGTGCTGATTCTGGCCGGTAACGGTCTGGTGCAGCTGGGGCCGCTCCAGCTGTCGGTCATGCGCGCGCTCACCACGCTCTTCCTCCATGACAACGAGATCAAGGCGCTGGACGGCCTGTCGCGCTGTTCGTCTCTACAGCTGCTAGTAGCCGACCGGAACCAGCTACAGTCGCTGCCGGCCGAGACGCTCGCCTCTCTGGCTAGTCTCCGAGCTCTACATCTGGAGAGCAACCGCATCCGTCGCCTCCCGTCGCTGTGGCCCCCGCAGCTGCGAGCTCTCTACCTGGCGCACAATAAACTCAGCGAGCCGATGGAGCTGACCCGACTGAGCGGACGGCTCGAGCTGCGGCGCGCCTCGCTCTACAAGAACCCGCTGACGCGCAACGTCAAGTGGCAGGCGATCCTGTGCGCGTCGCAGCCGTCGCTGCAGCTGCTGGATGGATCGCCAGTGTCGGACGTGTTTGGCGGCCGGCCGGCGCTCGACGGGCTCGGAGACGGCGACTCGGCCGACGAGGAGGGGTCGTTCGGTGACCTGATGGGGCCGCGCAGCGTCTGGTGGCGACCTCCGCAGAAGACCGTCTGGGGATTCCGACCCAACGAGGCGCGGTAGCGTACATACCTGCTCTGGCCACTAATTCACTTCGGAGCTCGCAGATGGTTCTGCTGTGTTGCAGAACTTCTCTTGCGAGATGCTTAGGTTGCACGTAAGCGATTCACGCTTTGACCGGTTTATACGTCTATGCTCGTACCTACTGGATGGAAGGTGTCGAAGGTGGTTAGACATTGGATAAGACGCGACGGGCAAGATAGGATAGGGTAGGATAGTGTAGGCCGTAGGGCAGGATCCTCTGGCAGTCTAGTTTATGCATAGGAGGGCTGCTTCCCTGCGAAAAGGCCGGTGTTAGACGATGCTTGGTCAATGCTTTCAGCACTGTCATCGAAAGTTCGAAACTGACGTACGTAGAGAAACATGTATTAATTATTTAACTAACTGTTCTATATTTATTATGATAAATGCATTACATCTATCTAAGACATCTATTTTCGTCGACGGCAAGCGACATTCCTGGAATACATTGGGCCAAAACGCCGGAACACACACTGCGCCGGCATACACAGGTGTAATGCGGGACAGTATACCCCCTCAGGCATCCGACAGACTGCGGGGCTAAGCACGACTTCGGCAGGCACGCTGCATGCGGAAGCTCAGTCTTGATGTCTGAGCTAAGTCTTGATTAGTCTCACGCCTGTGGGAGAGCATCCCAAGACACTTTTCTTTAGTGATGTTTCAAGGAACATAGTTTCAGAATCGCTGCCTTCCGGGACTTTCCAGCTATGATTTTATCCAACTTTGAACAGTTTTCCTGATCGGTCTTGATGAGTTTTTCCGTGTTCAGCCCGAGTCGCTGCAGGCGCCTCATGATACGCCTCAAAAGCCTCTGTGACGGCACTCTGGCTCGTGTCAGCACAAACAGAAGCTGCTCGTTCTCCAGATTTTTCTGCTCGCCGACCCCGCGGTCGGTGCACGACCACACAATAGCGTACCGTTTGTAGTCGGTCTCGAGGACGTTGTAGTTGGCCTCAGTGCCTCTGGACGGCTGTCCGTCGAAGCTGACGCGCAGGCTGGCCTCGCCGGGACGTCCGACCGGTACGGCCTGCCCCCGGGCCTCTGTCGTCGAGCCGTCGGCGATCCGTATGGCGCGGTTGACGACTCCGATCCGCCCCTCGCCGGCGTCCGAGTATTCAGCGCGACTGCAGCGCAGGCCGCGCTGGAACACGGTGAAGTAGCGGGCGTACTCGAACCAATGGCCCAGGTAGCGGCGCACCTGGAACTTCTGCACGATCGGAGGGCGAGGGCAGGAGCCGGGGAACCGCTGCTGGGCCGCCGTCAGAGCGGCCAGCGTCAGCAGCAGCGCCAGCGGCACGGCGACTCGTGGCGGCGACATGGCGGCAACGAGTCTGACTGGTGCCCCCCCACTGTCACCGGGCTTATATCGGCTGATGTCTGTGACAGGTGGGTCGAACGTTGCGGGAAGGCATATGCTCCACTTCCCTCTCACCAAATGTACGCACGTCAAAAAGGCACGGGGTAACTGTCACTCGCTATCAAGCTGTCAACTGTCGGCAAGTGACAGCTGCGGGTGCGTGAGGAGTCACAGGGCTGACCTTTTGCACCCCCACAGGTGACTGGTCACGTGTCCGTCCAATTATGTAATTACCTAATTACGTAAGGGTGGGCAAACTTGGCCACATCCATCTGGATCTGACGTCCGGCCCGCGGCTATAGTAACTACTCTATGTTATACCTACTGAAGACAGCCCTGGAAAAATAATTATTGTACAACACTCGTTTATTCAGAATATTCCACAACACGCAACATATGAAAACATCGCTCAATGGGACTGCTGCACGCTTGTAAAAGATCTGTAAGTAGTTATATGCGATCATCTAATAAAAAAATATGTATTCTCACTGACTGGTGAATCGAAGAATAGTCCGAACTCCGGCTGCATAAAGTTGGTAACAAAATTTTAACAACACAGTAAGGCGCCTTAAATAAATTCAGTACGGCATACAAGACATGAGTTTTCGAGGCACCAGGTATGGAGGAGTTGGTGGTCCACTAGAATGCTCGACAGGATGTCAAGCATCGGAAAGGGAACAAAATAAGCTGCGTAAAATACGCAACTAAAAGACAAAGACAGTCATTTAGGACAGGTTTATGTAATGGATAACAATTATCAGTTTAACAAAATAAACAAACTCAGTCTAAAACACAATGTTCGATTCAAGTTCACGATATCTCTTTCACTAAGGTGTGATAAGAAACAAAAGAACACCATGATTGCGGTAGTCGGCTAATGCCATTCCGTATTACATAAGCGGACCCAGCCTGTCAGACCGCTAGCGGCAACGCAAATGCATAAAAATGATGACATTTCGGGAAGGGCAACCTGTGGTGAGTTATCGGCATGAATGGAATATAATGAATAGAGAACAATTGCGAGTCGGAAATCTGAGACAGGGCAAAACGGTCGTAATTCCGAAGTAGGATGTTACATGATATAGTTACACACCGACGCTTAGCAAAGTTGTAACACATGAAACAATGCACACAGGTCTCAATAATAAAACCCGGTGACTTCCCTACAGCAGCACCAACGGGTATGTCCTAAGTCTTAACATCAGCAACACTAGTAGCACTCAGTGACGTAAAACCGACACATTTGTGATAAAACTGCGCAAACAACGGTGTTCATCGGTAAAACAAAGTGGTTAATATCAAATGGGAAACTGAAGAAGTGAAAAGTCAGCGGTGATTGTGTGTTAAAAACACCCGATTATACCAGTCTAAGGAACCCCTGTACTATGGTTGTAAACGATGCGACCACATGTCCATCACATTGATCTGTTGGCAGGTAAAAATAACTTGTGGCTTAAACTTGACAAAGTTTTGTTAGTCGAGTCTGTCTTGCCTTTAAACAGAATTACGCCTATTTAAAGGCATAAATATTAGAAAGATACAATCACTGATCGTTCAAAAGCGAATCTCACGACCACTGGCATCGAACAAATATGCAAGTATACAAATGCGCAAAATGCACTGCTGGAGCTATCTACCATTCATTTCTCAACCTACTGGCTTCGCAGAGCTACATTGTGCGCAGAAAACAGTGAAACTGGGAAGGCGCTTCACACAACGTATCACGGAGCCCGCACAGTCGAGGCCCCTTCTCACTGGCCGCGGCGAACCAGCGCAGTACCTTCACCAGGCACCAGCCAGCCAGGTCACAAACAGCACGAAGGCAACACGAATCTGGCACCACAAACAACAGCACAACGCATCGCAGCCGAAAAACGGCTACTCTCAAATAGAAGCCTAATAATTGGCGTTCTGAAGTCATTCAGTTCTAATCAAATACTGTGTAAGGTAGACGGTTTCTTTTCGGGATTTTTTGCACCGCAAGAAGGTGGTTTGGCATGGTTTGAGGCTTTTTAAAAGGTCTCAAACCATGACATGTGACATCAGAAGTTGGTCCAATACTAGATTACTGCATTATATGTAGTGTGCAGTCGGATGTAAATGTTATCTAGAAATTAATATCTAGCTATTTAGAAACTAATAACTATCTGATCCAGATAGTATTAGTATACGTGATTAAATAAAGCGGAAAACGGTACTGGATGGAACAAACCGATTATCGGGTGCAGAAAGGAATGAAACAGCCTCCACGGGAGCTGTCCTGGTATGGTTGCTTCGTGAACGTCTTGAAGATGAGGTTGTCCTGACCTTAATAATCCATTTGAAGTCGACCAGCGCTACTAGTCCTCAGCAGTTCCGTTGAACTGGTAGCGGCTCTCGGCAGTTCAGTTGAACTGATAGCGGCTCTCGGCAGTTCAATTGAACTTATAACGACTCTCGGCAGTTCCGTTGAACTTACAACGGCTCTCGGCAGTTCAGTTGAACTGGTAGCGATCCTCGGCAGTTCAGTTGAACTGGTAGCGGTCCTCGGCCTCCCAGTCGATGTCGTTCTTCCTGATGAGCGCCTCTGTCATGGCGCGGATGGTCTGCAGCTGGTCGGCCAGCAGGCGCACCTCCGTCTTCAGACTCTGCAGCTGGTGCAGGGTGGTCTCCTGCGCCAGGTCAGCGCCAACCTGCGGGGCACAGAACGAAACGCGTCACTATGTCTCCCCGAGCACAGTAGTACGTATCGAAACAGCACAGACGATACCTTCATTAAAACGTAACGCGTAATACGTAAGGCTGTAACGTGGTCTTATCGATATTTTGGCCGAAACCATGAAACACCTAATCCATTGATTTTTTGTAGCTCTAGCTCTACGGAATTTGAGCGAAACAAAACACTGGTGTCGCTGGTTCATAATATACTGTGCAAAGTGCAAACGCAACAAGAAAGGCCTGTTCCATGACGACATCAACACAGCTCGCCCTCCCCAGCTCCCTCCCATTTCGACCCACCTTCTCCGCGTCGGCCATCATCTTTTCTGCCACCTCCTTCATGGCAAAGTCGCCGCGCCACAGTTTGGCGATGAAGTTCTTCTTGCGCTGGTTGGGGTAGATGGTCATAGTGCGTACGGTGAGCTTCCGCAGGATGAAGTCGGGTAGGATGGACTCGACGTCTAGGACCAGCTGCACCGTCATCGCCAGCCGCTTCAGCGACGCCTGCTCCTGGACGGCCTTGATGTCGTCGACGGCCAGACCCACCTGAGAGGGGGAAGGGGTGGTTGGATGTTAGTTAGCAGGAGAAGCGACACTTGAATGGGTTTCGCTGTTACGTCAATGATTTCGGTAGCACTACCGGAGTTAAAATGTTTTGAGTCATTTTGAAGAGTATGGCATAAAATATATGCGACGAGCAAAAACGTCATCCGAGAACGCTTGGTGTCACGATAAGCTAATACCAAATAGTGCGAACTCGATCTTATTAGCCGTCCGATTGAAATGAATTAGTAGAAGGACCAGAAACGATTCGCCTTACGTGGCGATGAATGAAGCACGCTGTTTCACCCTGAAGAAGGAACACATCGTCCGTTCCACTCACCAGCAAGTTCATGATGATGATGGACATGAGGATGAGGAAGGCGACGAATAGCGTGTAGGTGACCTCCGGGAACGGCACTGTCTGCGAGTCGTCGAAGAAGATGTTGCTGTAGTCGAACTCGCCAATCATCATGACGGCTGTCTTCAGCAGCGACTTTCCCACAGACGAAAACTCCGCCTGAAAAAAAAAATACATAGGGTGTTATGGGTGAGCGAGACGATAGATGCACATACCCAAAAATAACATAGGTACCAGAAAATAGCAAAACCACCGACTTCCATGTCGCTAGAAAAGGCTTCGGTGAAAACAGTTATAAAAAGCATAGGGTAGATAGTATCGAAAGGTATAAAAGATTTAATGTGATACGGCTGTATGAACATGCTATAAGAGCTGATGATGCAAGGAAACGTTTAAAGCTAAGCCCAGAGAAACTTACACATGATTTAAATGACAAATAGCCTAACCTGATTCTGAAGCAGGACAAAGAAGCTGATGGCGAAGGCCGTGATGAAGAGGAAGAAGACGACCGAGAACTTGCTGAACGTGGAGAGGACGTCAGTGAACATGACGACGTAGATCCCGAACACGGGGAACTTGCGGATGAAGAGCAGCAGGTTCATCCAGCCGAGAAATACGGCCGCCGCGCCGACGTTCCACTGCCACAGCTGAAAACCGGGAGGGGAGCTGCTGGTTTACCGCCGTAACTGACTCAACTAACGACATATCATTCGAAAAACAGCGATAATGACCAACGGAGCAGTGCGGTGCCAAATTGGCGCTTGGCACCGCACTGACATCTACATAGATTGGTGCCATGCATCGGAACAATTAACGCAAACAAAAGCACACCTTTTACGATGAAACACAGTCCGGGGAAAAATAAATGATGCTCAGCGAAACCATGCGAAACGACACCGCTCAGTCACACAATCAGGTTTCACTGTCAGGTTGGACAGGTTTGAAACACAACCATGTAAGACCCCACCTGGCCTGGCTGCGCGACGAACATCTGACTCTCAAACCGACATTTCGGACTCAAATCGAACTGTCAGACCCTGACATGACCCCGCTGACCCTAACTGACCCAATGACTTCGAATGACTATCTGACCGCAGCTTATGCTCCGAACTCTGACTAGCCTGCCCCGTTAACCCACCTCAAATCAGGAGAATGGCCCATTTGACCTCGAACTAACAGTGACCTGCTAATCCACCCGATACCGGCCGACCGCGGACTGACCGGTGACCAATTTGACCCCGCACTGACCCAAAACGGATCTGATGATCTTCCTGAAACCGAACAAACCAGGCTGATCCCTGACTAGCCCATTTTAACCCGAATAGACCAAACACCAAACCGACCTGGTAATTTGTCCGGCCCCGGACTAACCCATTTGACCCCGAGCCGACCTATTTGACCACAGACTGACCCCGGACTAGCCCATTTGACCTCCAAACTGACCTGTCTGACGCCGGTGTCCCGCGAGCAGTCGTCAAAGTCCCAGACCAGCAGCAGGGCGCACACGTAGCACGTCCACTCCAGAGTGTTGTTCCAGCCAAAATAGTGAAGACGAGCCTGAGATAGCGGCGGCAACGAGTTAGCGACAGAGCTGCGAGGAGGGCGGCGTGGGGTGTGGCAGGGTGCTGCGGATAAGGCCAGGTCGGTAAGGTGATGTTACAAAGCTGCGTCGGGCTATGCTTAGAAGGTAAAGACAGGTCATGTTTACACAGTGGAGATGCGGAACGAGGGTCGAGTTGGGTAGTCACATAAACACAGAATACACAACACACTCGGGATAGTCTTCGCGAGCTCGTTTGCAATATTCAAGTGATTCCAAATAGTTGCAAAGGCTTAGCCCTCAATCACGGCAGAGGCATAAGGATCAGACACCGAGTTTTAAAAAGTTACGTGAGTCAATACCTACGCAAGAAACGGCGAAACTCCAAAAACGGTTGCGATGAATACGAGTAAAGTCAAAAAGTTTTGCCGGCCGGTTACAGCCGATCATGGTCAATATATCTTACCTACGTCCGGATGCATGATTAAGTGCATTAAAATAAATCCGACCCAAGCTCATTCGCAGTGGTACATAACTCGTGAACCGTTTTGCATGTGCGTAACTGGTATATCCAGGCGTCTTTTCCCAGTGCTCAAAGCTGGTGCTTGTGCTCGTATGTGATATTGGTGAAATTGTGGGTGATTGAGCTTGAAACCAGTGCAGAAATATATAAATCAATATGTCATCGGCAGCGTTGTAATGAGATGCATGTGAAGTTTGTCACAATTCACCTGAACGCATTCATTCCTACACGCAATAAAGCGCGATGGTGGTGAAATGAACGTGGCCCATTGGTGCAAGAGGCCTCAGGTGACCAAGTGATGCACCGTTAGCATACTCGTACGTAGCATAGTGCGATGAATCGCTCAAACATGTCAGTGTTTGTGCAAATTCCCTATCCTATTACAAAGCAGTGCCCCATGCCGTGTTTGTAATTCCAGCAGGAAAACATCATCTTGAGCGTAGACGACGAAACATACCGCTCAATAATTATCACAAAATTCGATTGATCATCCGTCCATAGTTATTTATAAACCGAAGCGTTCTGACGCTACAAGCTCTGGATCCAAGAGCCCGGAAAGAATAAGCATTCACCGACCCTTCGGCCTTCGCTCAAATAAACGGTGCCGGTTTATATATTTTGTCGGATAGATGATGACACTCTGTGATACTTAGTGAGCAGATTAGGTTGTTAACTTGGAAATAACACATCTCTCCAACTTAACAGCCTGACAGAGCAGCAAACTGTACTGCATATCTCACGATTGCCAAAGGTAAGCCTTACCTAAAACTAACGCACATCAGAATTCGTCGCAGTTTAGCCATATCCTCAGACCGAAATCGCTATCACATCGTGTGACCAGTCAGCGGGGGGGGGGGTGGAGGGGGCACCCAACATCGACACAGCCATATTCACCACCGAAACATCAAGTGTGCAACATCGAGATGACTGAAAACGTCGTGTGCTAACGGCGAACCCGAGTTTACCTTCCGCTCGCGAAACGGCTGGAACGTCAATCGAAACGGGTTAGAGGGTAGGGTGGGCGGCACGGGCGGCTGACATGCGACCGCGGGCACTAGATATTGGGCATTAGACACTGGAAACTAGACAATCAGACATCGGACGGCCGGACATCGGCGCCACAATGCCGCCAAAAAACGATCGGGCGGTATTTGCTCGTAAATGAGCACCTACATACCTACACGTAGGGGAGGGATATGATGCGGATATTAATCTATCTACATACTAAGGAAACTACTCAACGCACACATGCATCTACGGACCACACAAGAGTTCTTCTAAAAAAAAAAAAACGTTCGTAAATTCCCGTAACTAATGCATAACGGCTTTATGCTTAGTTTAGGAAGTAAGGTCGTAAAACATGTAAGAAAGAAAAAAGTTAAATCAAAGAAAAACATTCTGTAATCAAAATGTAACCCATCAAGAATTTGCACTAACATAACGATGTTCAATAAATACCTACGTAAAATGCTACGTTGGTAATTAACCATTCCAAGCCTATCTGTTGTAACGCTTCAGTCGCGAAGCACGCAGCAACACATTTATCGGGCGAAGCGTTTTGACTTTAGGTGGTAAGGCAGATCAGTCGCAAGAAGTTTGCTGCGGGGTAGAGGATATCATGCATGCGGGTACACATATGCCAGAATAAGGCTGCCAAGCGCTAGCCTAATCTCTTATTCCATCCCTCGTCATAGCAACAAAGTGTCGTCTGAGCTATTTGGAAGGCAATGTCGCAAGGTGCATGGAGAATGGATATGTATCCTGTATCAACAGATCGACTCGCTATTCGGATATCGATAAAAATACGATATATTAAGTGTCCAAGATCCGATAGATAAGTATATGTTGCTTTGATGTACCGTAGTGAACTCATCCCTGTATACAATATACCTACATTGTCAGTCTTTGAAGTGTCATACTCAACTGAGCGACTGCAAGCATGTTGAAACCACACGCACACACGCACACAGTGTCCCATCTCTCAATGGATTTCCTTCTTCAAACCAAGGCCTGTTTCACAGCAAACAGAAGCAAGCCGAGGCACTGCGCGCCAAACCTGTCGTTCCCTTACCAACGAGCTCAAGTAGTACATGTACTAGGGATACCGTAGAGATAAGGGTCAGTAGTGAGCCTGTCTCTCGATCATTGCTTGAACTCGATTTAAAAGAGCAATAGGTAACTTCACATGTACAAGCAAGTCAATGCGCACTACAAGCGAAGTTTGCATACCTTCCGCAACTATGATTGTATTGTGTACCTTATTTGCTCATGTGTAAGTACGGGATACATGACACCGACATACGTCTCGCTACCAGCTATTTTTCATACGTTTACAGACAGTTGTTCGTTAAATAACTACAATATTTAAGCTCAGAATGTTCTTACTTAAACGTGTTAACAATAAGCTAAGTATTCCGTGAGCACATGCAATAGTTTTGTATTTCGCCCAGCTTTAACTCGCTCTCTACGCATAACATAGTACTCAATAAAAAATGCGGCTCCCAATTTTCTCCCCTTCTCACCACCCTAACGTCTCCCTCTCCTCTCCTCCTCTCTCCCTTTCTCCCGCTGCTCTGCCTACCTGGAACACCTGGCCCAGCTCCTTGAGCAGCTGCAGACAGGCCAGCACCGTGATCACGTAGCGGCCCACGCTGGCGAACAGGTTTTGCTCCTCGTGAAGCCAGGCGCGGATCTCGGGACAGGCCACAAACGTCTTGTTCGGGAGAGCTTCAGAGACAGAAGAGTCCGACATCGCGTCAGCGGCTGTCCTGAGGGTTCCAGAAACGGGTGGACGGAGTCGTAAGGTAACGGGTCATTCGTAATGATCAGCTGAAAATGCATACTGTCTTTGCAGCGTTCAGGCACTTTCCGTCGACGAGATTTCCACTATCGTTGAATAAACACACCTACTCTACAAATTTTTGCTCGGCGAGTTCGGGAGGCATGAAGAATAATGTAACTAATGGTTCAGCTCAAAGGTAGTTTCTAGGAAAGCAAGTAGGGAAAACTTAAAACAGAATATGATCTGGGATATAATCCTTGAACAGTCAGGCAATCTTTTAATGTAAATGCCGCTACAGTTCATGAGTCCATTTTCAACTGTTTGTCAGATTTCTCTGAGACATTTCATAGCTAATACGAACGACAAAACGAAAAACGTCAGTGTCTGATTCGATCACACCGCCACGATTACTGACGCTATTTTGTCGGTGTAGGCGTTCGGCGGCGGCGTGGAGATGAGGTAGCCGGTGAGGAAGGTCAGGAAGGTGATGTAGAGCAGCAGGTTGACGTAGTAGAGGTAGCGCGCCAGCCGGTGCCACTTGAAGTGCAACAGCGTCAGACAAAGCGGGTGGCCGAGCAGCGCCTGAAACGGGGAAGGTTGCGTCGGCTGAGACATCGGAGTTCGAATCGCATCAAATACGTACGATGTGACACGAACCTTACGGAAGACGAGCGCTGCAACCCAGCAATTGTCTATTTAAATTCGAAAAATAAAGTGAGTAACAACATACATTTCCACGTAAATCTGCAGGAACGTTTGTGATCCCAGGCTTCCTACATACAATATCCCTTGATGTATGGGTGATATTGAAATAAAGATAAAACGCTCAGCAAACCGTTTTTCTCACACAAAACCGAGGAGCGCTAAGGGCACTGACAAATACAAACGTCCTGAGGCGCGATACGAACAGCTCGCTACTCACCACCCGTTTGGCGCGGACCATGATCATCAGCGGGTGGTTGTTCTTCCTGACCGTCGAGTCCATGGTGTACGGGTGGGCCGAGTCCTTGACCGTGCCGTCGTCAGCGTAGCAGGAGTAGTGGTAGAGAGCGTCACCTGCATCAGGGAAGGACAACTGATCATCCAGTCAGTTGTCATTTTCCGGCGACCGGCACCAACGGCAGATCATGCCAGGAGAGCACGTAAGTGAGCTGAAGAAACAGTGTTCCCTGTAGGCTAGAGACACATTGCCGTCTGTAACTTTGTGTGTGTTTTCCAGTGTAACCGCCCAGAAGGTAATGAAAGCACAACTGAGGAAAATGTTAGCGCGGATAAGACAATCATGTTGACTGCAAGGTAGTCGCCAACGCTAAAAAGACGCGTTTGACAAGACGCATAAATGATCGATCCACAGGAACTGCGCAGCCGTGCTGTCTCAGACTAACCTGCGCCATTCGAGGTGTCGTCTCTGACGTTGAGCTCTGTGTCGTCCTCCGGTGGCTGCACGGAGGAGTAGGTGTCGTCCACGAACTCAAAGTCAAACGTCACCGCCAGGTTCTTGTCATTCAGCTGGGGCAGCCGGCAACGAGTCATCGTCATTTTCGGAAAGAGACTATCATTATGCTGGAGGCTTCGAATGGCGGATACGCTGTCAGGGACTCATAAGATGCACATTAGTTATTATCAGGAGGAATGAGGGGTTCGGCAGACAGAACTATAAACATACAAGCGAGTGCAAGAGCAATAGCACAGAACTCATAGAATGCAAGTGACTCGTAAGTTAGATAGGAGCAATGCATCCTATTCTCCTTCTCTGTAACCACGACACATATCTCCTACACTCCTGCAATATATGTTTTATATGCCATGTAAAATACCTTTATCGAAGCCCTTTCCTAAGTTCCTCAGCAATATCTAACATATTTCTCCCCTCCACTCGCCGTTTCCCCTCCCCATCCCGCTCACACCCACCTCCAAGCCATTGGTTTTGGTGCACATGTTGAACACCTCCTCGGCCAGGTCGGGGTACTTTTTGATCAGCAGACGGATCGGTGTGACGCGCACGTTACGTGCCGACTGCGTCACGTTATTGAGCGCGTCACGCCACTGGTCCGATTGCAGAATTGTCGACACGACGTCTCTGCGGAACGGGCGTGCGTGCGTCATTGGGTGGCGAGACCTTAGCAGTACGTAGGCTTGGGCTTCAAAGGAAGTGTTGGAAAAAATATACTTAACGCATATCAATTAGTGAACCCAAAGCCTTTGTCCCGAGGAGAGTCTGACATGGTGACATAACAATAATGGTGTAACTGTGTTCTTTGATTTAACCGTAATTTAATCGCATCTACGACGGCCAACTGTGATCGTTTAATACACTATTCTGAACTATGAGCCTTTATACGGCCTTATATGAAGTATGAACCCAAGGGCTTGTATGAGCCATAGCCTGTGCTACAGACTTCTCTTTATGAAGAAGCCCGTGCCTGTGCCTTTCTCTAACTGTGTCTTCTCTTATCAATCATCAGGTACCGTCCCAGCCATACTCCCTCCCCTCCACCCGCCAACCACCCACCTGTGGCCGTTGAGAATGGCCAGCTCGAGGGCGCCCTTTCCGTTGCCGTCTCGCGCACTGAGCAGGGCTCCGGCCTCCAGGAGCACCTTCACCACGGAGCGGTGACCTTCTCTGGCCGCCAGGTGGAGCGGCGTCGTCTTGGACTTGTCCACCGGGTCCACAGGAGAGTCGTTGGCCAACAAGATCTGTGCGGCAGGTGGGGGTGACATTATTACTGGAGAGCGGAAGGTAGGATGAGCTCGTAGACACCGGGGCGCAGCAAAATTGTGAGTTGTGGTAACGGATATTTGATAAAATTATCTGCATTCCTATAAGAGCTAATGATTTATGCGCTTTTCCGAAAGACGTTCTTAGCGTTTTTGATGTTCTTGCGAATATTCGGTTTATCTACACAAGGAGTTCGACACGAACATTGACATTGCAGAATCATTGGAATAGAGTGTCAGTTTCAATGTCGATAATTGTAGTCCATATCCGACCACCTAATAAGCGAAACACGCAAGCGATTACCTTTCCTCTTCCTACCATTCCCCTCTGCCTACCTTAACCGTGTTCTTCCAGCCCTTGGCCGACGCGCAGTCGAGTGGTGTCCAGAGATGCACGTTTCGGGCCACCACGGCGGCACCTGCCTCGATGAGTGCCTCGACCACCAGCTGGTGTCCCTCGAGGGCGGCCACGTGTAGCGCGGTGTTCTGCTGTTCGTCCTGATCGGTGATGATGAGGTTGTCGCGGTGCAGCAGCTCCTTCACCACACTGATCAACAGGGGGAGGGGCAGGGTGATAGGGTGATGCGTCCATCATCAATGAGGGCATTAGCTAGTGATTCACACTCCCCAGAAGGAAACGATTTTAGGGACTGAACAGTGTCCCACTATCACATCACTCCACACGTGTCTCTCTTTCATCGTCCCAGTTCGTCCTACTCCGGCGCCATCCCATTCCGTCCCACTCCCCGCCATCCCATTCCGTCCCACTCCCCGGTCCCATTCCGTCCCACTCCCCGGTCCCATTCCGTCCCACTCCCCGGTCCCATTCTGTTCCCACTCCCCGGTCCCATTCCGTCCCACTCCCCGGTCCCATTCTGTTCCCACTCCCACATCCTCCCACATCCTCCCACTCCGCGTCCCTCTCACACTCACGCCGTCCGGCCGTATTTAGCAGCCACATGTAGCGGTGTCTGCTCGTCCTCATTCTTGTTATCAATCCGACTGCCGGCGTCGAGCAGTGCACGGGCAATGGCCAGATAGCCCTCGCGGCACGCCAAGTGGAGTGGCGAGTTGTCGTACTTGTCACTGAAGTCGACTAGTGCTGGTGCTTGACAGTGACGCAATAGAACCTGTGGGGAAATGAGAGGGTATGATGAGAGGGCACGGATTGTCACGGGATAGTGTGACTAAGAGAAACATTGGGCATTGGAAGCACCACGATGTGGTAGGTTTACAAAAAGTAAGATTCACTGACCAGACAACCTTTTGGGTTTGATGCCGCGGATCACGGCAAAAATCCTTCGGTAACCTGACTCTCCAACACATAGAAGACTCCAGAGCATTTTTTAAACACATTGCCTCATCCTCCGGTGATGCAGTGCCTCTAGGATCCACCTCCCCTGCCAAGGTTCCCATTCAATACACTCCCCATCTAATGAACTCCCCATCCGGAGCCGACCGTACAAACCTCCAGCGCTCCAACGTTGTTCTCTTTGGCGCACCAGCTGATAGCCGTCATGTCGTACTTGTCGGTGGCACTGATGTCCGCCCCGTGCCGCAGAAGGGTTTCGACAGCTCGCGCATGACCCGCCGAAGCCGCCAGCAGCAGCGGCGTGAAATTGTCCGTGTCCAGCCGCTCGATGTTAGCTCGTCTGTGGGGAAGAGAGGTGAGTGAGAAAATGAAGAAGACTCAGAGCGGGCGATAAACTAACGGAAAAATTAGATAGGTCTGCGTGAAACTGAGTAACGCAGGCAAATGAGCAGCGCTCGATACATGATTATGTATGGCGTATGACGTATGTGATATGTCCCATGGCTCTGCCTTATAAAAGGCACTGATATTTGGCGCTTATGAGCTCGCGGTAGGTGTCAGTAATGTTGTGCCAAGGATTTATAGACACGGTAATGTCAGCCTAAGTAATTAACATCACACATTGCCAGTGCTAATAAGGTAAGGAATGGGTGTCCAGGGATTTAGTATGCATGCCGGGGTGCCGGCATGTGTACGAGCATCCACATTCACTGTGAGGCTAAAAGCACAAGCACCGTCACCGGACAAGGAAAATGTTAATATTTAGCGTGAACCATCTCCCAACTGAACGGGAAGTATGCCGCTCGCCCACCTGCTCAGGAGGTACTCGATGATGTCGATGTGGTTGTACATTGCCGCTCGGTGCAGCGGAGTCTGGTGCTGGAAGTTCTGCATGTTGATGGCGGCGTGGTGCTGAAAAGGGACATCCTCCTTCAGACTTGAGGCCACGCCAGTAAAGTCATAAAACTGACGGCTGACACTCTATCTCTACAATCTCTTATATGCCTCCTCAATATAGCTATGTATATTCTATACTAAAAATTATTCGCATTCTGGAATTAATATTTAACAATCTTTTTAAAAAAATCCCATTACCTATAACCAAGCTATGATTTACCATCCCTCTGCCACTCACCCTGACGAGCATTTTGACGATGTCCAGCTGCCCGCCCACCACAGCGCCGTGCAGCGGCGAGTCACCCGTGTCATTCACGACATTCACATCGGCGGCGCCCGTCTCCACCAGCAGTTCCACAGTGGACAGACTGCCGCTTTCCACCGCCAGGTGGAGAGCAGAGTTCTGACGCTGGTCACGGTCAGCCAGCATCTACACACGGAACAGATGGAGAGGTTAGGGAGGGTGTCTTGGAGGGGAGGGGAGCACTTTGAACGGGCAAATAGATCTGAGTGATTGTCATTGAAATAAATACAAGGGGATCGGAATGCAGATAAGATACAATATGCAACATGGAAATGGATTTGAAGTGAGTTCTTGGTGCGTAAATAAAACTTTTTACTACGGCCGTTTAAGCAGTGTTGGTTCTCATTTAATACCTTCTCCGTAAAATCGTGCCTCATATGAGTGATGATACACATTCGCGACCTCCCTGATTCCCGAAAATCATGATCTGTCAAATATAAATAATGATTAATGACTTATTTCAAGTCATTGCACGAGACCCATGGCCACCGTCACTGGCCTGCAACTCGGCCTCCACATGGAAAAGAAGAGTTCTCTTTACTCCAAGCATACATCTTCCCCGTGCCCCGCGCGCTGACCTGTTTGACCACCGTCGCTCCCGACCTCTCCCGGGCGGCCATGATGAGCATGCTGACGATGCGGCAGTGTCCGCCCTTGGCGGCGCTGTGCAGCGGCGTCTGTTGCTCCTCGTCCACACAGCGCAGCGGCACGTCCAGCTTCAGCAGCAGCGCCGTCACCGTCGGGTAGCCGTAGGTGGCCGCCATGTGCAGCGGCGTCATCTGCTGGTTGTCCTTGGCCTGAGGGCAGAGGTCAGAAGGTCAGAGGTCCTATTTCAGAGGTCAGGGGTGAGATGTCAGCGGTCAAATGTCAGAGGTAAATCTAACAAGAAAGAAAATGCTTGTTAGGACTTAGGATTCAGAAAATTTTGGGAATTGTAATTTAATTCACGTTAGAAAATTTGAAGAACACACACGCCAGATGATGATCATATTTCAATTATCAATGATGAAGAGATATCACACCATGCGGAAATCCCATGTAACATTTAAAACGGATCGATAAATCTCCGCTGAATAAATATGTAGGTACTGACAAGCATGACACACATATATATATATATATATATATATATATATATATATATATATATATATATATATATATATATATATATATATATATATATATATATATATATATATCAGTTTCTGACGACTACTTCTCATTGATCGCTATTTTCTACGAATTGGAGCGCCTCGTCGTTCACCCACCTCAGGGTTCACGTTGGAGCACTGCAGCAACTGCTGCGCGGCTTGGTCGTTGCCGCGCATGGCAGCGTAGTGAAGCGACGTCAGTCCGTAGACGTCCTTGGCGTTGACGTCGGCGCCGTTATCCACCAGGACGTCGATGACCGTTTCCTCCTGCTCGGGGGGCGGAGTCGGCGGCGTCACTGTCGCTGTGGAGAACCGTTCTTCGACGGGCGCCTGGGCGACTGGCAGCTGGCGACGGTACCTACAGGAGAGGGGAGAGGTCAGCGGGTCATGGGCAGAGGGCGCTTGGGTCACCGGCAGCAGGCGACGGTACCTACCAGGAGAGGGGAGAGGTCAGCGGGTCATGGGCAAAGGGCGCTTGGGTCACCGGCAGCTGACGACGGTACCTACAGGAGAGGGGAGAGGTCAGCGGGTCATGGGCAGAGGGCGCTTGGGTCACCGGCAGCTGGCGACGGTACCTACAGGAGAGGGGAGAGGTCAGCGGGTCATGGGCAGAGGGCGCTTGGGTCACCGGCAGCTGGCGGCGGTACCTACAGGAGAGGGGAGAGGTCAGCGGGTCATGGGCAGAGGGCGCTTCGGTCACCGGCAGCTGGCGGCGGTACCTGACGGGGAGGGGGACAGGGAGGGGAGGTCAGCACTATCAAGACTTGAGGTCGCCCGGGACGGCATCTGGCGCCGGTACCTGTCGGAAAGAGGAGGTTGGAGGGACATAGAGAGCGCCTGAGCCGTTGGTATATACCTGACCGGGAGGCTAGTTCAGTCGTTTCTTTTCCGCCTCAGTCGGGTATTCAGCCGTTGATAACATTCGAAGACGTTGCCTTTCAGCGAAATATACCTGTATGTCTAGTAAATGTAATTAATGCGAATAAATTCTAATGACTGTTTCTCTGGTTCCTTCAAAAATTCATTGACAGCTTTTAATAAATGTCTTAGGAGCTGCGTAGCGGTATTTTCAAGGGGAAAGGTGCTCATTTGCCAAAAGGAGTCTAGTACGTCAGAGCCGCTAATGAGAAAGCCGATCCGGCCGACATTTTGTTTCTGACCTTCCCATAATGAGCCAGAATGGTGGGAACGTACGTACATGCCGTGTCGTACATGCCGTGTATATGCCGTGTCGTGCCGTCAATATCATGCCGTCAACGACAAGACAAAGGTCGGCATGATTCTTTTAGTCGGGTCGACTACAGAAAATGTCAGCTATGTCGCCAATATAAAAGGAATTAACGAATCGATAATGACTAAGGTACCAAGGAACACCACAAACGGGAGAATGAATAGCAGAGGCCAAACAGAATCGGTGGTGAGCAGTAAGGACGGGTCACAATTTCAGTGTGTAGGTTCCACTTCAGTGCTTCACTACAAAAAGAAAACTGGACACACAGTGGATATACGAGGCTTGCTGTATATGGCGAGGCTCGTATATGGCTTGCTGTTTTCGGAACACCACACAAGTTCGCAAATATAACGACACCCCAGAATCATCGTCCACCATGACGCCAAGCTGCGGTAATTAATAACACTTGACCTATCGACCAGTGGTGCCCATCAGAAGCTGGGTGACGTTAATGCAGTGGTGGAAATAGTGCAGCTTCTGCCATCGGAAGAGGGATGAGTGGGGCGGTGCATATCGTGGACATCGGGTGGGTGTGCTGTCACCGGTGGAGGCAGCTGTTGGTGAAATATCTTAGAAGCTGGCACTAACTGTTGTCTGGTTGGCACTAACCGGTGACTGAAGCTGGCACCAACTGCAATTAATGTATTATTGTGCCCGGAACAGACTCAATAGTTAATGGTGCCTGCAGCAGACTAACTGGTGCCTGGAGCTGGCACCACCGCACCAGGCTAGTGCCTGGTGTCTGAAGGCGGGCGGTACGGCACCAACCGTTGTCTAAGGTGAACAAACGCCCCTTGGTCGATATTCCGACCCCGACCGGGAGCGGGGGGTGGCCGTCCCGACCCCAGCAATCAGGGTGTCGGAACACTGAATAATTCCTAGTGCTAAGCCCTCGCACCTACAGGCGATCCCTCAGGTCCCTGTATACCACGAAGTGACCTGGACAGGGGGGGGGGGGGTAAGAGCGAGGAGTCAGGTGTGTTTGTGTTTCTATGGCGAGTTGCATATCCACGCGATAAAACATGCAGCATTGATCATTTCATTTTTAATAGCGTCACGTTACGCCTGAGGGCATACGGTGAGTTGCCAACACGGTCAGTCAGCGAAGAAAAAAGCGACAAAAACCGAAACTGCACATCGTGTCGCACACCTGACTGGCAGCGTCCATCCGCTCCAAGATGTTCAGCTCAGCGTGCCGTCGCCCCCACTCCCCACACCCCCAGCCGCCGTTAACTCGCTTCCAGGGTTGTGCTTGACTCATGAGTCGAGTCAGAAATTTGACTCAACTCTGACTCAAATGAGTCAGATTTGAGTCGAGTCGGATAAAATGTTGAGCTGTTGAGTTGAGTCAGAGTTGAGTCGGACAAAAATATTAAGGCGTTGAGTTGAGTCAGAGTTGAGTCAGTAAAATAACTTTTGACATTGAGTTGAGTCAAACATTTAGGAACATGAGTCAGCTGACTCAACTTTCTAAAACCAAGCTTTTCATTCCCCCTCCCCCCGCTTAACAACTTCGCGCTGGCTCTGCTGCCGGATTTTTTTCCACCCCCACCCCCGCTCAGCAACTTTTTTATCTGAGTCAATTTTGAGTCAACTCACTTGACTCAACAAAAAATTTGAGTCAAGTTTGAGTCGACTCATATTTTCATTGAGCCGCTTGAGTCATGAGTCGAGTCAAGGGAAAAATCAGCTCCTTGTTTGAGTCAGAGTTGAGTCAGGGCTTTCTGAAGTTGAATGATGAGTCGAGTCGGCAATTTTTTTTTAGTCGAGCACAACCCTGCTCGCTTCCCTCACCTGGCGGCGTAGTGGAGCGGCGTGAGGCCGTCCTCCCCGCGGATGTTGGTGCGCGCTCCGTACTTGATGAGCAGCCGGACCGTCTCGAGTCGGTTGTAGCGCGCGGCGTAGTGCAGCGGCGAGAGTCTCTCCGAGTCGAGCTGGTTCAACCGGCGCTGCAGCCGCTGCGGCTGGTTCAACAGCGAGTCCAGCAGCAGCCGCATCGCCTCTGAGTCGCCCTCCCGCGCCACCTGCACAGAGTCAGAGTCGGAGTCAGAGTCAGAGTCGTCCTTCCGCGCCACCTACCCGTAGTCGCCGGAGTCAGATTCAGAGTCAGAGTGGCCCTCGCGCCACCTGAAGTGGTTAGTTTCAGAGTCCGGACCAGTCGGAGGTAGGAGGAAGTCAGACTCAGAGTCAGAGTCGCCCTTGCGTGCCATCTCCTCCGGAGTTGGAGTCAAAGGTGGGAGGGAGTCAGAGTCAGCGTCACGGTCGCCAATTTATAGTCAGGGCTTGGAGGACAAGGAACGCCAAGCTAGTGGCCAGTGACGTATTTTTTTCCGCACTGCATATCCTCTGCGGCTTCAATGATGTGAATGAGAGTAAACAGACCACATGAACGGATACATACTCGTAAGTCGTATGTGCGCTCAAATAGTTTGATTCATATCATGTATAACAATGCATTGCACGATGCACGTAGTTACAGTAAGTCGCACCAAAAGAACAAACACACATGTGTGAACACTAGCAGGCAAATAAAGTGGTAGTTTACACGGAGCAAACTCCTGATATCGATTGGCCAAAGTAATAGCATGTGCCTCGGCAGGTGCACCAGACACTGAAGGGGTAGCCATGAAGTTAAATATAAATCGTACAACATTGACATCAATCACTGATGTAGGAGACAAAACTTACCGACAGTGTTTGGACAGGAGTTCATGTTGAAAAGACGACACAACAGGCACAACATAACACTTTCATTCACCATAGAGACAATTACAGCATATAATAGTAAAACAACATCGATGTTTCGGCAATTTTAGTTGTGTACCTTCACCACCGAATAGTTTGTCAGTTGCAACATAGGTAGATCAGTGCCCACAAGCACACAAGTCGTACGACCATTTGTGTGTAACTGACACATGGCACGGTCTGTTACAGTTGTGTTACAAATAGCTGTCAAACACATCATCATAACATGGCAACAACTCGAATTCATCGGGGCTTTCTGAGTGGTGAGGAACGCCAGTGAATCATCCAATTCATGCGAAGAACATATACGAGAGCACACTGATTCCATTTATTCCGTCTCGATTTGTTCATGCTATATTACCTGGTACTCGGAAGGCGGACGCTTTAAAATGAAAATAGTTAATCGTTTGGTCAAAAAGTCCAAATCATTGGCTGAATCACAGAATCGATATAACTTATCATTCAGAGTTCAGACCTGGTTCGCTAAAGTAATAAAACGAAGAAGATACGATGGTCTGTCTGTCCTATTTTTATACTGGTGAAATCGTGCGGGTCTCACTACTTGGCAACTGTCAATGAGTATTGAGGAGGGGCCATACCAATAGCCATGCGTTCGGCTAAAGGGAAGCAGAATTGATAGACGCAAAACATAAGCATTTGGACTATTTCGTGATGAGTCATGTCTATCGGGATTTGGGTGTCATTGTTTTAAGGTGACTCCTGTAAAGGTGTCGCGTTTACTCTGAAGCATTATCAGGCACGCCTGGATCGCTTATAACGTTAATAATAAAAACTGAAATATCGTTTAAAGTCGTAGTCCTTTTTTATGCAGCTACCAGCCAACGTTATTCTGCTGTCATAACATTCCCGTCTTATCGCTGCATTTTGTTGGACTGCGTGTTTGCACACTGACCTGATGAAGGCCCTTTCTCAAGTCCAGTTGGTGGTTCCTGAAGGGGTCAAAGTCGGCCATGGCCTGACTGAGGCCGGTCACCACGCTGCAGCTCCTGAAAACAAACATGACGTTATTAGATGACGTCATCAGTGTGTTGTAAGATATCAACCGACGGGCGCGGGGGCGGCTGAGTCAGATTATTGCGGCCGAGGGCATTGCAGACATGAGACAACAGAGACTGAGCTTGATAAAGCAAGGTGGGTGCGCAAGTGCCTAAACAAAGGCACCAGATACGGACGGGGTGAAAGCGAGCCAACAATTCGTCATGCATAGAGTGCGGTAAAGCGACTGGAGAACAACAAAAAGCAGACATGCGGACGGAGATAACTGCTTTAAAAAGAAATTACCACACGACGTAATACATTTGTTCTACAGCGGATTTTCCGATGTTGTTCTCGTTTTAACTCGTTGCCCTCGCGACCCTCACCCGTCACCGTCACCGCCGCGCGATACGACCTTTCGAGGGAGTTTCGGGGCTGTGACGCCCCGAACAGCGCCGCCAGGCTCTGGATGAAGCTGGTCTCCGCCGAGCCGCGGCCCAGGTGCTCCGCATCTTCCATCGAGAACCGGCGAGGGCCCAGCAGGGGCACCGCCGCCGCTGCCGCCCGGTCATCGTCCAGTGCCTCCAGAGACCTCCATCGCACGGCCGACCTGAGGTCACCGCCGTGACCTGAGGTCATCGGGCCACACAACGTCGGCGTCTCCGGTAGCGAGTCGCTCCTGATGCAGTGCATGGCGCCGACAGGCCGACGGGCGGATAATGGATTGGAAAGGGACTGGTCTTAGTTGGGTCAAGGATAGATTAGGCCTGGACTTTGCTGGGAGCCGTCTCGGTCCAGGTTTGTTTCGAGTTTAGCGCGAGATACGATCCAAGTCTACCCATCCAGGATCTCTTGTGCATCCTGTTGGCACCTCGACCGCCCCGTCGGATTCACTCGTTGACGATCCAGTTCGTCCGAGACACGACTGACGTCACTGCACTGACGGCTGGGGAATCCCGGTGACCACCGATGACGTCACTGCTGGGCCGGCCGAGGCGCGCTCTCCCCGCGGTATGTGCGTCACTGCTGCACAGCTTCCAGAGCCTCCCGCCGGCTCGACGGCGCTCTGCCCGTCCGATTCAACACCAACACAAACCGCACCGTCAGCCCGCGTTTATACGCCAGAGTCGGCAAGGCACTGAACACTGAACAACAGAGTCGCGCCACTGCCACTCCAGTCACGGGCCGGCCCGTCGGCGGCCCTCTCGGCTGGCTGGGCAGGCCGAGCGGCACCAAGATAAGATAGCGATTAGCGGTCTCATGTGTTCGCCCACCTGACATGACCCTCCCCGCAGCACGTGCTGACCCCTCGACTGCACGAGTTCGAACGATTTGGACGTAAAATACGTCAAGTCTGTCAGAATATTGGGAGTTGGTTGGCAAGAAAAAAGACGATTTATCTTTAGTTATATGATAAAGACCTATAGGTACCCCGATATCTCAGCTCAGCTCAAAAGTGAACTAGAAAGTGAACTAGAAATAAACATACCTAAAGTGAATAAATAAATGATATGAAATAAAAAGCGAAACAAAACTATCTAAACCAGGGGTGCGGAGCCGGAGCCGGAGCCGGAGCTGGAGCCGGAGCCGCCGGAGCCGGCATGTTTTGCCTCGCGAGACGCGAAGCCGGGGCCGGAGCCGGAGCCGTGAAACAATATAGCCCGGACCCGGAGCCGTCAAAAAGGCGGCGACTCTGGCTCCTTTTTTTGAAGAGGAAAAAATTATTGACCTGCTCGGTTTGACAGTACAAGGCAGTAAAACATGTGGTTTCCAAAATAGCCTTGTTATGCAAATACAGAAGCAACGTGAACCAATCCATTCGTCTTTTTTCTTCCACCCGTATTTAATTGTATAGAGGATGTACTGAGTACTGGAGCCGGAGTCGGAGCCGCCGGATCCGGACCATTTTACTCGTAGCCGGAGCCGGAACCGAAGCCGCCATGACATTTCACCCGGAGCCGGAGCCGGAGCCGGATCCGATTTTTTTTTTCTCCGGAGCTGGAGCCGGAGCCGTCTGAAATTTCCACGGCTCCGCATCCCTGATCTAAACCCATTGAATTTGTTGGTATTGCATTACATGTTACTCTGGCATGTTAGATATTATGTGAGGGCCTAAGGTTTCTTATGTGCAGTTTGGCACCATCTGCAGACGAATAACCTAAAAGCAAGCGGTACGTTGAAGAGAGGGAGGAAACAGAAGGAATCGGCTAAAGCGGTAGAGAAATGGTAGGACGGAAACGGTTAAACGTGCAGCGTACACCTGATGAAGCGAACAAAACAAAAGCAACAAAAGCTAACAAACAAAAGCAAATTCCAGCTAACATACCAAGAACATATAAAGCGTACGAATGAGGCATAAAGACATGCGACGCTTAAAAGCCTCCAAAACATTATCAACGAAAAAGTGAAAAGGACTACTTATTACCACACAATGAAAGTGAAAACAGGTAAAAACCTTGAAAACGTCCCAGAGTTACGCCCTCGGCCTCACATCAATGTGCTGGGAAGTCATGCCGTTGAATAAAGATAACGTCATACAGCTAAATTTCGTATCCTACGCTAGACGGAACACTGACGATACCAAACCAAACAGGAGCTATGATATAACCTCACAGGGTGTAAGACGCGAGCATGGAGCTGGGTCTGCCTCAGCAAACAGGATCAGGATAAGTTAGTGCCCAGTAACAGGCCATGACCATGGAAAAGACCAGAGGCAGGGCTGAGGGCCGCAGGACCCGGGCAGGGATCGAGTCCGATCCGGGAGTGACGAGCCTACCTGCTGGAGCGCGCCTGCTTGAGCTCCTCGTCGGTCATGTCGGTGTTTCGCTCGTAGGGTGGCACCATGTTGGTGTCGATGGAGTCCCCGGAGCCGGGGGTGCCCGGATCGGGGACCGGCTCGGCGTCGGCGCCGCCCGCCGAGCCGGCATCGCTCACTGGGGACACAGAGAGGAAGGTCACCGGTCAAAGAGGGAACTTCAGGGGCTGATGAAAATGACGGCAATGAAAGTCACATGAAGAGCCATGGCAATAAGAGTGGTCATCAATTCGGGAAAAGGAACATGGATGATCTATCTGAAACTATTAAAAAGTAAACGATTCTAAATTACCATCACACTATTGATAATTATTGAAAGGAAAGCACAACGAAACTGCAAATTCGTCCCATTTAGTTATACTCACTTCGATACCCCTTGTTGTGATACATGATGTCTGTACCGTCGCTAAAATCTACAACCCTACAATCTAACACAGAAGCACATTAGGCGAGCTCTGAGCACCGACTGATTGCCGTGTAATTTCACCGTGACCACGTCAGGGACTGCTCCACTAATCTCGCCTGACGCTGGGCTGCTGATAAACGTCCCGGCTAGTGTCGAGTACATACACGCGAGGTCGGGGCCACGCAAATAGCGACACATGTTCCCGGGAGATAATAAACAAATATCGACAATCACTCTCGACAGATAAAAGTCGTCAATGCCCACCGACTAAAATTGGAAAAGACGGTTCGGACTTCGGACTAATGACACTTATATATCTACATCTACTTATGTTCGCGTCAAGAATGTACCTAAAAGTTCATCAAAATGACACAGAATGTGGAGAAGGCGATTCACGTGAGCGCTATGATTTTCTACCGCAAGACAACTACTTTATAGCCAGTCATAACTTACCAACAGCCAGAAAGAGCTTTTTAATTTCGATAAAACAAACATCTATGACAAAAAGAGGAGGCGTATCATAAAGCCTTGGGTAGATAGCTTCTTTGAAATAGACCCCAAGCGTTTTGAAAGCGTTTGATGATACCAGGGCACTATAGATTCATGAAACCACTGGTGCCAGAGCAGCGGCTCTAGAGCTACACGATCACTAGGATCATTTCTCGATTTATTTAATACACGCCATAGGTACTGCAGCATAATGCCGTACTTTGTGCGTTTAAATCTATTTCAGCAAGCAGATGTGCAGAACTCCGTTATCACCAAAGGATCTCAAACAGAGAGTAAAGCTCACTGCTGGAAGCCAAGGCATTTAACCTCCATGGAAGCATTGCCGTATAAGCGTCATTTCTCAAGTCGCTGAGGGCTGGAGTCACTGGATATCGGGTAGATGTGTGATCCGTGGCGGTGACGGCTGAGCCATGGGTTCGGCGTCTAAGCAATGAAGACCAAGATTCGTATACCTACACTGGGTTATATGCAAATTAAGCCTAGACACTCGCTGATTTAGACGGGGGATGATGGTGACCATGATTTGGGGTTTTAGGGCGCCTGGACGGCGGCCGTCATCGGCACCCAAGACGGGGAACATTATAGGTATTAGGTAATGACGGGCACTTCAGACAAACGGCGAAGTCAATGCATTCGGAGGCATCTGGCCGGTTAGTGCCGTAGCGAGTTAGAACGGACCTCGCTCAATGTCCGAAACAATAAATGACACAAATAGCTGGAAGGAAATTTCTTGCAGTCAACCCCTTTTTTGTACCCTGCACGAAACTAAAGAACCTATGTATATTACGGCGATAAGTTATATTTATTTCAATCTCGGAGTTTTTATCGCGCGAAGACGACTTATTTATGCCACAGTACAATAACTGTTGCAGCGTTATAGCAAGAAGAAGCATGACATTAATTCATGTCACATACCATATTGGGATAGCAAAGGCGATAACAATGGCAATAACAGTGGCAATGGCAATGACAGTTTTTTCGGTTAATACAATAAGGGAATAAGATTAAGAACAATAAGGGAGTAATAAGAATAAGGGAATAAGAATAAAGAAATAAGATACAAAAAGGGAATAAAATTAAGAACAAAAATGGCACGCAAAATTTATGGGGCAATTACGTTCATTTCCAATGGTTAGGTCCAAAGATCTTACTATCAGGACTCAGGAGGCCGGAGGCAGAAATAATAAGAATCTTGGAAATAATACCGTACCGATAGCGGCCGCCGATGCTGACCGCTCGGTATCCGACATGGCCGAGAACGTGTCCCGTCCGGCCTTCCGCGACCCTCCTCTCAGCCGCTTCTCAGGAACACTGACTCACGCACGCCCATCCACGCCTCCCGCGGCTCACAGGGCGCCGACGGATCGATCGCGACGCCGCCGGCACGTGCGTGTCAGTCCGACGACACACTGACACTGACACTGACACTGCGGCAGGCGTGTCTCACAACAGTGGCGACATTTCACTGAGATACGTTCTGGAAGAACGTCTGTCGGTCGTACTGACAGGGAGCGTCCGGTGCGGCCTCAATTCCGACACGGCTATGGTGGATGTGGTTATCGCCCTAGTCTGGATGCACTTCACTCTGCACTTTCAGTCGCAGACGGCACACGCAGAGATGAGCGCTGACCTCGCCACAGACGTAAACACGCGGTCCGACCGGTCTGGCGAGGACGGGCTATTTCCGTGAGAGAGAGCGCAGTTCTCACTAACGGCTACTGGAGCCGACGCTGGACCCCGGGCGGTGGCCTTGGATCAGAGGCGAGCCCAGGGCGCGTCGACGGGGGGCCGGTCATTGACAGAGTACTCTCCAGACGATATCAGGGATAAGCGCTGGAGGTGACGGGTGAAATGAGTAAGAGAATGAAATGCTGTAGCCGGGGATGGGGTCCGTACCTTTGGGGGTCATGTCCACTTCTTCCACGTCGGGCAGACGGGCGATGTTGAGGGCGATGTCCAGTGTTGCTCGTCGGTGCCGCCTAATGTCGCTAGTGTCTTGCCAGCAGGGGGCGGCATCGTCACTGGGAACGGAGTGCCTTCGGAAGACGTCTGAAAATGGTACAGACACCCGAGACAGATTGTGATGCACAATTAGTCAGTTAGTCCACACGATGACAACGAAAGTTGGGACATCATAGTTGCATTGAAAAATTGCATACACAATCCTGATAAAAGCTCTTAGTCTCAGATGTTTGGTGACTTCACCGTGAAACCCAATAGGCAATAGTGCAATACTTACTGTCAAATAATCTTGTGACGCTTTTTCGGTATTCTGAGCCTGTTGATTGCCGTCTTCCAAACATGTAGCGCTTGAGCTAAAACCTGAAGATGGGAAATATGGTAAGTCATGAAACATTCTGCACAATCTGTAAAAGAAAAACGGAATGGTTCTTCAAATCTATATTTTTATAAAGTTTATTACGTAGGTATGGCAGATTAGCTACTACCAGCAGTAGGTATACCATGATCCATGTCTAACAAATGGCGACAAAATTAGATGTTTAAGAGCCATTATAGAGGTCCAGAGCTTTTCAAATCAAAGGCATTCACAGCAGACAAATTATTTATGAGACTGCTGATTGCTGAGTAACTAAGGGACTGCGGTGTCCTCACCGAGCCAATAAACATATAAGTTCATCAAATATGGATGGATAGGTAACGAATAATGATAAATTGCATTCCAATATTTGTAAAAGATCAGTATGTAAAAGCATACATGGCTTAGAAGAAAATTTCAATTTGTTTCCTAATCTAGGCTACCTACCGAAGATCGCAAGAAAAAATGCATGTAAGCAAATAAAAACTTTATCTAAAGCAAACTGACATCTCAGTACTTCTCCCACATCAGTCCCGGCACGTCTAGGTCGGCCCGGGGGCAGCCAGCCCAGCCTTCGCCACCCGCGACCATCTGACCTTATGCCGACGTAATGATTCACAAGCCGTGCGGTGCAGTCTACATTCAGGCGTATACTACTAGTGTCATCTAGCGGCATTGTTTTGAGCCATAGCTAGAAAATACTACCGCTAGATGACGCTAGTAGTTTACGCCTGAAGTTAGACTGTACCGCACGGCTTTAAAGTCGTTACGTCGGCTATTGTAATCTAAACATCGATCGATCTATTGGCTTTTCAGATAATAGCGCGGGCGGGATTAGGAGCACTGGTGCAATACGGGAACTTTTCCCTACTGAAACTTTCGCCTCGATCGACGGCTTTTTACGCGAGTTAGGTAGGTACGAAAAAACCCGAGTGGTCTTTCCGACCCCTCCCCCAGGAGTAGGTACCAGGGTTAAGGCATTTGTTTGTGCTTGGTTCCGTCGTCCATGGCTTTTATGCTGGATTTGCTTGATATGGTTATGTTCATGTACAAAACGCATGTCTCGGAAATTTGATATCCGTGACCTAAGGTCTGAGGTCAGGTAAATTTTGCGACCTCCCCATCATAAGCCAACAGGGAGAAAATTAAAAGGCGCCTTCTTTGGACGAACGTCATTCTAAACACTCTCAAACACTGGTCTACAAGCAACTATGACACATTGAACATGCAAATGGCACCGTGGGTCGTGACCCCTATTTATGCCTCTGAGGCCATCTCAGGTCACGAAGGGTGTAAGTTTTTTTTTTCGCGAGTAACTTTTGATAGAGGCATGCTAGAGTGACTTGACAATGCTTAGATGTGTTTAGCTCGACGATACGGATCGACTGATTTGCAACATCACTATTTCTGGTCAGGTCATGACCTTGACCTGAGGTCAAATTTTCAAGTTGACTTTCAAGGTCAAATTGTAGTTCATTCGATAGTTCATTCAAAATAGAAGAAATATTCGTGATCAGCGGCCATGCGTTTATTACATAACACCTTTCATGTGTCAATGTCAACCAAAGGTCATTAGAGGCCACATGAGGATGATCCAGCTCGGGCCTCGGGGTGGTTGACCTGACCTCTGGCCTCAGGTCACCAAAATTATTTTTCCATTTTCCCTAGTCATGTGCTTCACAACCGTGCTCGAAATTTGTCTTTATCTCTAGCACTATTTTTCGCAGCTAATTGAAGATCACGTCTGTGACGTTTGAAAGTTACAGTGCAAGGGCTTATAGGCCTATGTATAGGCCTATAGCCCACTTGAGAACGTCACAGGGTCGATTTCCCTATAGTGACGTTATTAAGTGGGCTGGGTCCATTTTTTGTTCATGCTCCAGTAGATGTGAATCGATGGAGAAAAAGGCACTGAAAGTTTGACGCCTCTATCTCTAATCGCTCGGCAGCTATCGCAAACATTCGTCAGGGGGGTAAGCATTGTCCCCGAAGGGCCCGCGTGGGTTAATGCATACTTACATGTGGCACATGCTGTGCCTAAATGCGCCTTTTGCAGGAGTTTGGAAAAATTTAATTTGTACCCATCAAATTTACTTTGTAGTTTGTTTGCCAGAATGGAGGTGGATTTTACTCCTATGATGTTCAAGGATTGTTATAAGGCAGAGACCGCATTCACCAGACACATTGCTCAAGCACAGGAAGAGTTTCCGCTTAAAAGGACCCTCCCACCTTCAAAAAAGTGTATGAATTGGCATGAAAGTGATGTCGCTCGGTTCAGAAAGAGCGAAAACGAATATCTACCAAATTTCACCGAAAAATATTCACCGGTTTTCAGGATATTATACTTTTACTTTTGTTTACTTTTTGGGATCTCCGCTGTTCCTAGCGACTTTATTTGGAAGCAATAGTTTGGCAGCTGAAAGTGCGGCACTTGTTGCGCGCAAAGCAGCATATACCACCGCGTGCTACAAAACGTTTTAGTCAAACATTTAAAAATCGTTAGATATCTGCGCTGACGTCACACATTCAGAGGGGTATTCTTATGCATTAGCCCCTCTGAATCAAAATGCTGCAATTTTGAAATTCAATATTTCCGATTTAAGGCATTTCTCGATGTTGTGAGTGCCGAAACCGGTAATTGTGAGCCAGGGACCCCATTTTGGCTATCTCAACTCAAATCTAATGTTAAGGTGGGAGGGTCCCTTTAAGCGGGAGTTAAATGGCAACTCTCCCTTACCCTTGAGTTAATCACATCTGTTCCTATACTCTAAAAAAATTACGACCCTGATTGAAATGACCTTTGACCTGTGAACTGTTTCCCGAGACAATGTCAGGCCAGATCGCGATTCGGCGTACCTTTGTTGGCGCACTTTATTCGCGTCTTTCCAGACATTCGTAACCAGATTTTTTTTTATAACCCAGCCATTTTGTGCCAACACGTGAAATGATGCATTGCTCCCATGCGGCCATACATGTTGGTGGCAAGGTTATTTAAAAAGTCATGTCAAGGTTATTGTTCCCTGTTGACCTCGGACGTTTTCAGTTTTCTAGCCTTGAATGTCGCCTTTGGAGCAGATGCCAAATCTAACACTTAGTTGAACATTCGAGAAGTAGTCTTGGTGCCTACTGCCTATACAACATGTTACGAAGCTGTCAGTCAGTGGTGGTTTACAGTGGGTGCGTATTATTTAGGCCAGGGTTCATAATGTCCAGGGCACAATGTGTCCAGTGCTCGAATTGGCCAGTGCCTTGAATTGGCCAGTGTTCACATTGTCCAGGGATTACATGGTCCAAAAGTGGCCAACTGGCTGCAGATAGGGTAAATTCAAAGAGGCCAGGGTTCATAATGTCCAGGGCACGATGTGTCCAGTGTTCAAAATGGCCAGGGTTCATAATGTCCAGGGCACGATGTGTCCAGTGTTCGAAATGGCCAGGGTTCATAATGTCCAGGGCACGATGTGTCCAGTGTTCAAAATGGCCAGTGCCTTGAATGGGCCAGAGTTCATAGTGTCCAGGGATTACATAGTCAACCCAACCCATCCCAACCCAACCTAACCTAACCTAACCTAACCTAACCTAACCTAACCTAACCTAACCTAACCTAACCTAACCTAACCTAACCTAACCTAACCTAACCTAACCTAACCTAACCTAACCTAACCTAACCTAACCTAACCTAAGGTAATGATGTTTACCTACCAGGGATAAGGAAATAGTTTCTCGCATGAATAGATTGCAAGCAATAGTAAATCAAATATTTTAGGTTAAGTGGTTATGCATCAGGCTTCAGGCCTTCGGCCTGAAGCCAGATACATAACCACTTAACCTAAAAATATTTGATTTACTATTGCCTGTAATCTCTCCTAAGGCATTGCCTTCGGCACTGCACTGCTTTGCATTGAGCTGATTCCGTGTTTTTTTACATAATGACGTCACTTTCAGTGACTATGTAATCCCTGGACATTATGAACTCTGGCCCATTCAAGGCACTGGCCATTTTGAACACTGGACACATCGTGCCCTGGACATTATGAACCCTGGCCATTTCGAATACTGGACACATCGTGCCCTGGACATTATGAACCCTGGCCATTTTGAACACTGGACACATCGTGCCCTGGACATTATGAACCCTGGCCTCTTTGAATATACCCTATCTGCAGCCAGTTGGCCACATTTGGACCATGCAATCCCTGGACATTATGAACTCTGGCCCATTCAAGGCACTTGCCATTTTGACACTGGGCATAGCGTACCCTGGACATTATGAACCCTGGCCAGAATGAATGCTCCCCGTTTACAGTTAACCCGCGCCCCGCTGGGCTATTCAGCCATACGCGCCCTGCTGGGGGGGGGGGGGGGGGGCAGATTCTGCCCCCCCTGTCTCACTTCCGAACCG